ATCCAGAGGGGGTAAAGGGTTACAGGTTATGGGATAGGAACCAGGTAGGCTTTAAAGTGGTCCTTAGCAGAAATGTGGTGTTTAATGAAACTGATTTTCCTTGCTTGACCGAGTCTGCTTCTAATCCTGAGTCTAGGTCTGATAGTACTCCTAGTGAGGTGGAGTCTGTCCCTGTTGCTGCTAGTCCTTTATCTGTTGATCCTGTTATTACTGATGATATTGTTATGCATGATTCTGATTCCTCTGAGCATGATAGTCCCACCACCTCGAGTGAGGTGGAGCATTTGCATGATACTGAACATGATTTGCATGATATGGGTGCTGAATCTGATTTTCATGATAACAATAATTTGCATGAGTTGCATGTGGAGCCTAGTAGTGATAATTTGAATGATTATCAACTTGCTAGAGATAGGAGTAGAAGGGCTATCAGGAGAACTGCTGATAGTATGCCTGATTATGCTTTCATTGTGCATGATACTTCTATGTTTGCATTTTCTGTGTTTGAATCCCTAGAGCTGAATGAACCCAAGACCTACCGTGAAGCCTTAGGTTCCAAAGAGTCTCAGAAATGGATTAATGCCATGAAAAGTGAGATGGACTCTTTGAGAGTGAACCAGACTTGGACCCTTGTACCTAGACCTCCCAACTGTTCCGTAGTTGAGTGTAAGTGGTTGTTTAAGGTTAAGGAAGAACCTAGTGATGTTAGGTTTAAGGCTAGGTTGGTTGCGAAGGGGTTTACTCAAAAAGAGGGGGTAGATTATGCAGAAATCTTTGCTCCTGTTGTTAAATTCACCACTATTCGTATGATGCTTGCTTTAGTTGCTCACCATGACTGGGAAATGAAACAAATGGATGTAACTACTGCATTTTTGCATGGTGAATTGGATAAAACAATTTATATGACCCAGCCTGAGGGCTTTGTGGATCCCAAGAGAAGTGAGCATGTCTGTTTGCTTAGGAAGGCTTTGTATGGCCTGAAGCAATCCCCTAGGCAGTGGAACATCAAATTTGATAAATGCATGATATCTTTGAAGTTCCAAAAATCTGTTTGTGATCATTGCCTGTATTTCAAGAATACTTCCTCTGTGCCTGTATTTTTGTTACTCTATGTGGATGACATGCTGATAATTAGTCCTTCTCTGAATGCTATTAAAGATGTGCAGAAATGTCTTTGTGCGAATTTTGCCATGAAAGACCTAGGTGATGCCAAGAGGATCCTAGGCATAAACATTGTAAGGGATAGGAGTAAGCGTACTCTTACTTTGAATCAGATTTCTTACATAGAAAAAGTTTTGAGTAAATTTAATATGTTATCTGCTTCTCCTGTTAATGTCCCTATGGCATCTCACTTTGTGTTAAGTAAGGACCAGTCTCCCAAGACTGCTCCTGAAATTGAGAAAATGAAATCTGTGCCTTATTCCAGCGCAATAGGGTCGGTGATGTATCTTATGGTTAGCACTAGACCTGATATTGCATATGCGGTTAGTTGCTTGAGTAGATATATGTCCAACCCTGGTTTGCCTCATTGGAATGCTCTTAAGTGGTTGCTTAGATATCTGATTTCTACTGTGAAGCATGGATTAATTTTCTCTAAGTGTGCTAGTGGTATTGAATTGATTGGTTATGTTGATTCTAACTATGCAAATGATAGAGATAACAGGAAGTCGACCACTTCTTATGTTTTTACTTTATGTGGCTCTTGCATTAGTTGGAAGTCTCAACTACAGCCTATTGTGGCCCTTTCTACCACTGAGTCCGAGTATGTTGCAGCCACAGAAGCGTTTAAGGAAGCCATCTGGCTCAAACGCCTTGTCTCCGAAATTGGGTTTCTCAAAAAGGGAGTTACCATTTTCTCGGATAGCCAATCGGCCATCCAACTTTGCAAAAATCCTGTATTTCATGATAGAACTAAGCATATTGATGTTAGGTTCCATTTCATACGTGATATTGTTGATGCAGGTGGAGTCAAGCTGTGCAAGATCCCGTCCGAGTTTAACCCCGCGGATATGGGTACCAAGTGTCTTTCTGCTGAGAAGCACTTGTCCTGTAAACGCGTGTTAAACTTTGACTGTGGATAACTGTGGGTTGCCTAATAAAGTGTTTGCCCGTTGTGTCTGTTGATACTCCGGGTGACCCGGCGATGATGAGTCTTGTCACAACCTTGTATTGATACTCTACACCACCTAGGACCAATAAGGTGGAGAATGTTGGAGGTATTGGTCCTACCAAGGCCTCCCTTCCACTTTATTTGTTGAGGCTTGCACCCTATTGTTTTACTCCCACTTTGGTACCTTTACCTTGGTATTTTATCTGATCAATAACATACCTATTTGAGGGTTGACTTACCCACTTGGCTGGCCCCTCTGTGTTCTGTCCGCTGCATACTCCATTTGTCTTGGTCTTGCTTGTGACTTTCCTTTGTCTAAGATGCATGTGAGTGTCTTTTGTATTGACCTCACCCGTGACTTCCTTGGCAGCCTATTAATAGTCTTTGCTTCTTCCTTGTGAGCCTCAGCCTGCGTGAGTATTATTCCAGAGAGAGCAGTGCTCCCTTCTTCTTCCTTTCCTTTGTGTGAGAGTGTTGAGAGGTCCTTAGTGGAGAGAAAAGGCTAGAGGTGTGCTATAGCTTCCCCTAGAGTGGTGTATGTGAGTAGTGTGTAGAAAGACCTGAGCCGGAGACGGAAGTATACGATCCTTACAGTCACGGGTGAGTGCCAAGACAAAGGCTCACGGGTTACCAAATCAGAGTGTGCAGCGGACAGCACAAGAGGAGGGCCAAACAAGTAGGTAAGTCAACCCTCAAATAGGTATGTTATTGATCAGATAAAATACCAAGGTAAAGGTACCAAAGTGGGAGTAAAACAATAGGGTGCAAGCCTCAACAAATAAAGTGGAAGGGAGGCCTTGGTAGGACCAATACCTCCAACAATGATGAAGGCCAACAAATTTGTTAGGGTATGTTTGCAACAGCTTCTGCTTTTAAAAAAGTGCTTTTTTTAGGGAGTGTTTGCAAACACTACCCAAAAGTACTTCTTAGCTTTTTTGTTAAAATTGGTGTTTGCAAAGATCCACTTCAGCTTTAAAATTGGTGTTTGCAAAGATCCACTTCAGCTTAAATTTGAGCACTTTTAACCCAAAAGTTGAAAGCAGCCCTTGGGATGCTTTTTTGTGCTTCTAGGTTTTTCAGTAAATAGTTGAAACTTTAGGGACAATTATTAGATGACAAAAATTTATTAAACCAAAAATGCCCTCTGCCCCTTCTGCTCTACACCGAATGTACACTACTTCCGTTCTGCTCCCCCTCCACTTCCGGCTACAATTCCAAGCTCTATGCAACTCCACCCGGCGGATGAAAAGAACCTGACAAAATTCTTCAAAGAGGTGAGGTCCATCAAGGCCGCCATGGATGATAATCTCCTTCTCGCTCGACAAATCAAACCCGTCGGATATGATGGTGGTCGGCGGCGAGCAAAGAAATGATGGAGAAGATGATGGCCGACGGTGAACCCAGCACGAAAGACTGGTGTTTGAAGGAAAAGCGGCTGCTAAAATGGTGAACAAACCTGCAGGTCAAGGCGGTGAAGGAGATCGAGAAAGAGGAGTCCGCATGGATGGGCTTCATTTCCATTAATTTTTTTTATTTTGATTCTCTATTTGATTTAATTTGGTCAAGGGTATTTTTGTACTTTAACTACAAACTACATCAATTATCATTTTTTTATCAAACACTTCAACTTTCACCTTCTAATTAAAATCACTTCTATTTACAAACACTACCTACTTTTACTATCAATCACTTTTTCCATAATCTCTTAAAAAAATCACTTCTAAAAAGCACAAGCAATCGCAAACACTCCCTTAATGAAACAGGAAGAAGTGATTAAATAAAAGTTGATAGTGTTTGACAAAAAAGTGATTTTGAAAAGTAAAAGTGGGTAGTGTTTGGTAAAATAAGTGCTTTTTGTGTAATAGAAAAAGTAAAAGCACTTTTGACGCGGAAGCCGAGAAAAATAAAACTTGTAGTGTTTGGGAAAATAAGTGCTTTTTTAAAGCCAAAAGCTGAGAAGTGCTTTTTTAAAAGCAGTTGCAAACCAACCCTTAATGGAGAGGTATTTTTGTCTTTTCATATGGGATAGGGGTGCAAAAACAAAATTTTTTAAAAATGGGGTGCAAGGTCCAATTTGCACTATAATATAGGGTGCAAACTCAAATTACCCAAAATAGAATAAGATCATATTTGATTTCATATATTGAAATTAAAACATCAGATGAAATCAGAAATATTCATAATACGGAGTAGTATTATTTGATTATATTTTACTATTAAAAACTTGATCAAACAAAATTAAATCTGGAATTATACTTCACAAGCCTAAAAATTGATCAAACAAAATTAAATCTGGGATTATACTTCACAAGCCTAACTGGTATCAAACCAGTGGCTTATGGAGAGCATGCGGCGAGATGATGTGTGACTGGCAGTGGCGATGGCGAGTGAAGCATGACGCAACTTCGATATCAGTTAGATGTGGACTAAATTTTGATGAAGATAACAGATTGGCCTGGGGTGATGACAGTAGATCAAACATGTGGAGGCTGCCTAAGGTTAGAGAAGGACTGGAGGAGGCAGCGGCTAGGGGTAGGAAGGAGGAGGTGATTAGGGACAGAGGAGGACGATAGTGACAGTAGGGGGTTAGAAGGGCCGGCGGATCATGGTGGAGTTAGTTACTTGGTGGGGCATGGACAAAGTGTGGTCACGGTTGTGTCGAGTAACATCAAAAATGTAAATCGCGTATAAGAAGATGTAATTTGCGCATATAAAGATGTAAATCACGCATAAGAGGATGTAACTACACCATGTATAATCAAATATAACTTCAAGAATCATGTATAAATGTAAAGCGAACATATGAAAATGTAACTCACATACATTAAAATGTAATATTCTGTTTTTATCAAATGTAAATTAAAATAAACAAACTCAATACTGTAGCTTTTTTTAACATCAAAAGGGCTTTTCATTAATATAGAGCAATCATGCAAGATAAAATTCAGACAGCAATTACAGATCCGATTGTAAGCCCCAGAAATAAACTTAGAGTCAGTCATCCATACAAAGCAATCTGACTCGTTAGACACAAAACGGGCAAGAAGAAGCCTAAAACGATCGGGAATGAAACACTATCTATCAAGAGTTCTTCGTCCACAAAATAATACGAAAATAAGAACTTCCCCCAAACTGCTGCCTCGCACGGAGGTGGTTCCGGAGGAGGGCGAACCGCTGTAGTATGGTAAAAGAGAATTTCAACCCCCGAAAAAATCATCTGAAACCTTATTTTTCTTGCGTTCGTCAATTTGCTCTTGCCAATTTGCTCGAGATTTCCCATTGAAATCCATGCCCGAGATGCAAAAGAAAACTCTATCATGTTGTCTTGTGTTCTTCGTCCACAAAAGTCCAAGCCGCACCCCAAAAAGAAAATCACACAAAGCTCTCGTTCAACGAGAATCCAAGTCGCACGAGCAAAGCTCGCCGGAACAAAAAAATCCCAACTATGTAGGAAGACGGCCGCTCCTCGACAATATCGATAGCGGAGAAAAAAACCTAGCGGCGGGGAACCACCCTAGAGAGAGAAGCAGTACGAATACGTATTTATTAGCGAAAGGAAATTGAAATGCTCTAAATAAAACTAACAAACTCAATATCTTAAAAAATACAAAAACATACAGAGTATAAAAGAGAGAAATATTTATATAGTGTATGAATATGAAAAATATATTACAAAAAAGTGTATTAATATAAAAAATATTGCGAAAAAGAAAAATGACAATTAAATTTGTAGCATTTTGATGTGGGAGAAAAGAATTGAAGAAAAATCAGCAAATTGAAGGAAAAGAAAAGTGACTCAGCGAAGAAAAGAAAGAAAAACAATTTATAGGGTGTATTTTTACATTAATCTACACTATTGGGATCGATACACCGCGCGCACGACGTAACAATCTCACAGTATAATTTGCGTAAATAAACAGCCGTGTTTACTCCTTGTCAATCACCATTTAATTCCTATCATTAAGCTTAGTAGAAAAAATAACCAATAAAGAAAGAGTCAAACAACCAACCTTTCTTTCATATTTCATTCATTGATAGCTACGCCTGAATACCACTAGCAGTAATAGAGAAAAGGCAAAGCTAATAAGTTAGGAAGAGAAGTATATGTTGTATTAACAAAGTTCGAACGGTTTCATATGTTCAAAAGGGATATTTATATTACTCATAAATGTTGTACATAAAATGTGTGTATGCATGTAAGTTAGTCGGTGGATGAGATTTCTTATGTAGGGCAGAATCATGCATATAGGCCTGTCAATGGGTCGGGTCTAGACCCGGACCCGACCCGGACCCGGTTGTTTTTAACGGGTATGAGTCCTTATTTTATTCCGTTTACCCGGACCTGAACCCGGACCCGTTAATACTTTTAATAAACGGGTCGGATATGGTACATATGATTCCGACCCGTTAAGGACCCGGACCCGTTTAAAATTTCTTATTAGTATATATACACACACTAATACATAAAGAGGTTAGTTATAATACTTCAAATAAAAATACAAACTGATATATATATATATATATATATATATATATATATATATATATATATATAAAGTGATTAGTTTTAATTCTTTGATTAAAATGATACAAATTAATACATACCTAATGTATAAGTGATAATATAATAGTATATAATATGCTTTTAGTCCAAAAGAACTTTTTGTGACCTAATTTCTAGTCTAATATACGATTTTTCTGTGGGAGAGAAAGAGACAAAGTGCGGAATTGTACGCATCTACAACAAACGATATTTTATTCAATAAAAGTACAAATTTTCTATGATAAACCTTAATTTTTTTTTTTGAAAAGTGAAGATATATTTTGCGTTTAAATTTGTGCACTTTGATTTACATTTCATATACATGTTTTGCTATTTTTAAAAAATTATATAATGTTGTGTCAAAAAAATTATATAATGTTGTGCACTTGTGCATATGATTCTTGGCGGGTCTACCCGACCCGGTTCCGAGACCCGTTGGGTCCGGGTCCGGGTCCAAATTTTTAGACCCGCCGGGTAAACGGGTCGAGTCCGGGTCCTTTATTTACTTAGCGGGTCCGGGTCTGGAACACTACATTCCGACCCGGACCCGACCCATTGACAGGTCTATGATGCATAGTGGGATTTGTGGCAGACTGGCAGTGCATAGCCGCATAGGGGTGGACTCGGGCCGGCTCGGGCCCGGTCCCGGCCGGGCTTCGGTTAATGAAAGGGGAGGCCCGGAACCGGCCCGAGTAACCCCCGGGTCCGGTTCGGGCCGGCCCGGGCCTCGGTTCAAATTATTTTTTTTTTTTGGCTTTTCCTAATTAACCCACAACCCTCCCCCTCACCCCCAAACCACCCCAAACCACCTCAAATGACCCAAAATACCCAACCCAACCCAAAAACATGAAAAAAAATATTCAAAAAAAAGAAAGAAAAAATAAATTGGCCCGAATCGGGCCCGAACCGGCCGGGCCGGTTCACCTTTTCAGGGGCCCGAGCCCGGCCCGGAACCCCAGCGGGTCGAGCCTACCCGGACCGGTCCCTGGCCGGGCCGGCGGTTCGGACCGGTTCAAACAGTGACCGGGCCGGGCCGGTCCGCCCGGCCCGAGTCCACCCCCAGCAGTGCATTACTCTACCAAGCACTACAGAATGGCGGACTGAGGATCATACGAGATGAGGCTAAGGTGTCGTATAAACAACAAAGTTTCTTTGAATCGGATCTATCAACAATCCATTCTCTGTGTTGTAGAATTCCATGGGGCCCACTCGAGGGGTGGTTGGTTGCTTCATGGGTCTCTTGTGGCCTTTTAAAACAAGAATGGGTGTTTCATCTCTTGAGATGCTCATTTGCTTTTATGATCAGTTAAAGGCCCACCATAAAACATAAGAAGTTATCTATTTCATAGAGGAAAGGACAACCAACGCTAGAAGGGGCTCTGACAATTAGTTCATCAGTTCATGTATTTAAATTTTAAAGTTTAAGCTAGTCTCAATTGTAATTTATAAATGTGTTAATACTCGGAGTCAATGTAGTGTTTGAAATAAATATACATTTCATCATTTAATGTGTAAAATTTCATTTTTTTTAATAAATAGGGCCCGAACCGGCCCGGAACTGGCCGAATAGACCAGACCAAGACAGGCAGACAGCGACCCGTAATATTCCGGGTCGGTCCAAGAGCGGAACCAGGACAGGACTGAATCCATCCCTATGTGTGATGTGTCTGAAAAACATACTACGTAGTATTAAACATTTATTTATATAGATTGTTGATATGACGATTATTTGCTTTTATGAAGGGATAGTATTAAACATATTTGCTAAGACACACATTATAAAAGATACTGCTATACTGAATAGTAAAGGGTTAATGCTCAGTTGAAATATTATTGTTTCGTTTGATAAAAAATACAATACAATTATGGTCATTTCATCTACATAACGATTATATGCATAAGAATGGCGAAAAGAAACCAAAACCCACATAAATGACACAGCATTTGAATCATCCTTCGATTCATATGTTTTTAGAACAGTGCACGAAAATAACCTGGACCTTTAAGGCATTTGGGGGGGGGGGGGGGTAAAGGAAGAGAATTCACTAGTTCTGTCGTTCAACTGGCGGCCCCGTTCGGGGATTCAATAGAGGTTGAAGAGCTTTTACCACAATACTCATGTTTGGTCGGAAGTCAGCTTCATATTGCACACACAAGGCAGCAACTGCCGCCATCTGTTTAGATAAATTTACATCAGAGGTCTTTGAGGTTATCGTAGAATGCAGAAAAATATAATGACAAAAGTTCATAAATTTCTTATCAGAATTAAGATGAGATGTATAGTGTCCTTTGGTTATGCTTTTTAAACACCAAGGAAATGTGCATGGGTTTGACGTTAGTATTTTTGTTTCAGTCTCTCAAAACAATAACATACAACTATGGAAATGATTGATAACATGAATTTCTTGCTTTCATTGTTTTTCAAATACATGTTTTGAATATTTACACTAATGTACAATATATAGAGCTTCTGTATAAAGCATATGTATAATACTATAATGTATTCATAATAAAAACTAAAGCATAAAAAGGGAAAAGACAAAAGGAACCCAAAAACTTTTCACTAAGTATTGAAAATTGCTAGGGGGTCTCTTGAGAAGAGTGTCCTAAAACGCCCCACTTCAATGGTGGAAAATGTTGTGGACACCCCCCCCCTATTTATTTTTTCAATCCCGGGGAGAGTTTCTGGACACTCCAAGAGCATTTATCCAAAACATTTGTCTTGACAAAACGTACAAATATTGGCCTAGGGATTGTGGTGAAGGATACGTGAATAAGACAATTGCACTCACACAGACACACACTGACAAAGCAAAGCATTACAAGTACCTTCGCTACAGCCTTTGGAGGGTACTCTTCTTGATTCAGTCTACCATCGACACACTGTTTCACTTTGTCTTCACTCAACCTTGGCGTTGCCTGATTCCAATTTCAAATTTTCAAGTGCAATAACAAATTAGATGTATTCAATGAAAAATCAATTCCCTAAGACCAACTTCTTGTGCAAGACGTGGTCAAAATTTAATACTTTATGGAACATATACTTTTTAAAAACTTGTGTTTTTGAGTATTACTCTCAACTCTAAAAGTATTGCATTTTAGCCCAGTCTTGCTGTGAGGTGACCTATTTCTAAATTATGCAATTGAAGAAGAAATGCATACCCATGTTACTAAACTTTGTTGTCCACGAGGCAAAGTATGATCGACAGGTTTGCGGCCAGTTAGCAGTTCAAGAAGAACGACCCCAAAACTATAAACATCACTCTTGGAAGTCAATTGACCAGTCATTGCATATCTGTCATTCAAGACCAAACAAATGAGACCAGCTTAAGGTCAAAACAGAAAATGGACTTTTAGTCCCTCTCGGTTGTTAGATATCATGTAACTTGGGATGTGTCTTTGAATTTTTGTAAATTTAGTCCCTCAATTGTTATAATCTGGATATAATTGGTCCATTCTGTTAAAAAAACTATTCACCCCTTTAAACACAAGAGCTTATGGGGACATCCTCGACATTCTATATAGCCAATAATGCACTCATAAGCCTCAATACTTGTTATAAGTGAGTTTAATTACGTAAATCTCAAATTTAACAATTGAGGGACTAACTTTATAAAATCTGAAAGACAACTTACATAATGTTAAACAATTGGAAGTCTAAGTTATGGAAATAAGTCATGTTAATTAATCGGTGAGTGTCTGCCTAGTCAGTCTGATTCAAAGAACCCAGTTACTTGGCGAGTACTCAGCAAGTAACTCGGCTGTGGTCAAATGTGAAAGATTGAATCCATTTAAAAAAACATTTTTCAAGGTTTTAATAATTCTCAAGTCTACAAATTTTCACTTAAAATGTGTTTGTGGACATGGAAAGAAGACAATGCCGTTCTTGAATCAGATGATGATTGATTTAAGATACAAAAAGACAGGATTGGTTAGACAGCGTGATCTTTAAATGCAATTTGAACTATGCTGGTTATTGTAGATGATTATACGATGCTTTACATGTGAGTGTGTAAGACTTACAAGATTGGTACTAGTAGAGTGAGTCAGTAAGATAACATGTGTGTTTTAAATTTAACTAATACATGGCTGAGTAATCACCAATCACTCTCATGCAGTCAGTCCATATCACTAAATCTGTATTAGAACTAATGAAGTTATCCATAGATAAACATACTAGATCTACGAATAAAGTGACTTACTCGGGTGCATGATAACCAAAAGTCCCAAGAACACGAGTGGAATGAAGGCGTGCTGCCATATCAGGGGCTTGATTTGATAAATCAAAGTCTGCAATCTTAGCAACATGGTCATCAAAGAGCAAAACATTGCTAGATTTAATATCACGGTGAATAGTATGAGGTTGGGCCTTTTCATGCAAGTATTCAAGTCCTTTAGCAGCCCCAACTGCAATTTTTACTCGTTGGGCCCACGTCAGCACAGGACCAGGCTGTGCATCTTTCACACCTTTCCGCCCTGCGGAAACAGATACAGTTATTACTTGTTGCAGTTAGTTTTTTCGCATATGACCCTTTTATCAGTGATTAATTATAGAACTTCAATTAAATTAAGAAGAATTTGCATCTCCGTATTGAAGTTGGTGTTCCTGATGGATTTTATATCTGCCAAATTATTTAAGAGTAATGACTAATATATGACTAAAACAAAAACAGTGAACAAAAACGTGACAAATTATACATAGTGACCATAAAAGTAACTTTGAGTGACTATAATTATGTTCAATTTTGCGCATTAGTGACCATGAATGTATACTAATAGTAACTTTAATAGAAGTTTTGTCCAAATTTTATTTGAAGTAATATTTTAGGAAAAAACTCATTATTTAAATCTTGCACCAAAAGAATCTTCAGGGCATATATTGAAGGTGTTTTAGTCCAAATAAAACTCAATTCCTACTAATATCTTTATTATTACATCCTATGATCCAATCATCTTTCTGTGCTGCTTGCAGAGCATTTGACTGGTCAGGGGAGCTTATTTGTGATTTTATTAAACCTTGAGGGTCATTTGATAACTTGAAACGAAGCCTCAGGGAAGGTACATGTCATTAACCATATTACATAAAAAAATTACATAAATACCCACTGACTTTATTATATCATTATGGAGCCATATGGAGATCCACAGACTTCTCAATTAGCTTGAACATCTAAAGAACGTTTTAGGATGCACATTGGTGCATGGTAACTTTTCCATATTTTCGATTGTAATGAACTAGTTTAATTTACTAATTAAGGTTGATATCCATTTGTACATAATACGAAGTATAAATAGAAAATCAACTGTTTTCCAAGTTATGATCAAGTGCACATTTTTAGGCATTTAGGAAATCACATGAATATGCATACTAGCAATAACAAGCACATATATAAGTACGTCATGAGGGAAATCTATTTTGAAATCTTCCCTCCCTTCCCCCTCACTCAGATACCCTAAAATATGGGGAACTTGGAAGGAAAATCAATCGTTTTTTGCTCTCTTGGACTAAAGTTATACACTCTAGCAAATAAATTCATTTTCAGTTGCATTGTACGATATGTCTTTCTTCCCAATTTGTGTCTGAGCATATCTTTTCCCTCCTGATTATGTTGTAACTCTGGAGATGAATAAGCATAACTATTTGTAGTTATATTTAAATAATTTGTAATACAATACTTTTAAAATAAATCTAGAGATAAGTATATTATAAACATATATAATAATGTATCATATATTTAAATGTTTCCTCTAAACATATATGGTATATTTGTACTCCAGGAATCCCTATATAAACGCTTTGAACAGGTATGCGATTTCAGAAAATGATAATTTAATGATTGAGATTTAATAAGAATAGAGCAATAATGAGAAGGGATAATTTGAGTTTGCACCCGCCACCCTGTTTTATTGTCAAAATTGGACTTTGCACGCTGTTTTTAAAAAACTTTGTTTTTGCAGCCTAACCCCATATGAAAAGACAAAAATGCCCTTGATCAAAAATATGTTGGAGTCCAATAAAATTGTTAATGAATGGGCATTTTTGTCTTTTCATATTGGGTTGGGGTGCAAAAATAAAGTTTTTTAAAAATGGGGTGCAAAGTCCAATTTACATAATAAACTAGGGTGCAAACTCAAATTATCCCTAATGAGAACCCTCAATTGCTTTCCTTAAAAGAAAATGAGTGAAAATTTTGGCCAAGAAAGAAAGTGAGAAGATTATTTAGAATTTTAGAGATGAAAATTTTGGCCAAGAAAGAAAGTGCAAGATATTGGTGATTTGACCATACGGGATTGTATGGTAAATCGTGATTTTGTGAGAAGGATACAAACAACGGAAGTTAAGGAGGCTCTGAGAAAGATGGGGCAGAAGAAAGCAGTGGGTCCAAATGGCATATTGATCGAGGCTTGGAGAAGTTTGGGAGAGAGAGGCGTCGAGTGGTTAACAAGTTTCTTCAACGTGATTTGGAGAAACAACAAGATGCCAACAAGTTGGAGGAAGAGTACTCTTATCCCCTTATTCAAGAATAAAGTGATGTACAAGAATGTGCCAACTATCGAGGCATTAAGCTTATGAGTCACACCATGAAACTTTGGGAGCGAGTGATTGAGCAAAGACTTCGAAGAACTGTGAAGATTTCAGAGAATTAATTCGGTTTTATACCTGGTCGCTCAACAACGGAAGCCATTCATCTTCTTCGGCAGCTTATGGCGAAGTATAGAGATGCTCACAAGGATCTGCATTTGGTGTTCATGACTTAGAAAAGGCTTATGATAGGGTACCTCGAGAAGTTCTTTGGTGGGCCTTAACTAGAAAAGGCATATCACGCAAGTATATCAGCATCATCATGGATATGTATGAGGATTGTACTACAAGTGTTCGTACTAATGTAGGGAGGACTGCGGAGTTCCCTATTAGTATCGGAGTGCACCAAGGATCGGCTCTGAGCCCTTTCTTATTTGCCATAGTCATGGATGAACTTACGAAGTCAATTAAAGACGAAATACCGTGGTGCATGATGTTTGCCGACGATATTGTATTGATTGATGAGACACAATCAGAGGTCTTAAAGCAAAGTTGGAAGTATGGCGACAAACATTGGAGAACAAGGGTTTCAGACTAAATCGAAGCAAGACAGGGTATATGGAGTGCAAATTTGGTGGAGGTAGAAGCAGTGGTAATAGTGGAATTACTCTAGATGGTAAGGAGATACTGGTCAGTGATATGTTCCGTTACTTGGGCTCCATAATTCAGAAGGACGGTGAGCTAGATGGAGATGTATCCCATAGAATCAGAACATGGTGGATGAAGTGGAAGAGTGTGTCAGGATTTCTATGTGATAGAGGTATGCCGACTAAACTGAAAAGTAAATTTTATAGGATAACAATTAGGCTTGCATTGCTGTATGGCGTAGAGTGTTGGGCGGTGAAACAATGTCACATTCAAAAGATGAGTGTGGCAGAAATGCGCATGTTGAGTTGGATGTGTGGGCATACTAGGAAGGACCACGTGCGAAATGAGGCAATCAGAAAAAGGGTGGGAGTAACACCTATTGAAGACAAGATGCGGGAGTCTCGCCTACGGTGGTTTGGTCATCTGCGTAGAAGACCGAGTGATGCACCTGTCAGACGTGTTGAGATGTGTGGAGAAGAGGCAGGGAAGAGAGGGAGAGGAAGACCCAGACAGACGTGGGTTAGGGGAGTCCGAAGTGATATGCTTCTTCTTGGGTTGGATGAGGGTATGGCTTTGGAGAGAGCAAGGTGGAGGGCGGGTATTCGTGTGGAGGAGTGATCTCGTATTATTTTTCCCCTCATCTTTTTCTTCTTGTTTTTTTATTCTTTTATCCTTATATAAAAACATTATTTTTATCCTTTTTATTTTATCATTCTTAGGTATATTCATCTCGTTTTATATTATCTTTTTATATTAGCTTATTTGTTTATCTTTCTTTTCCTTTTGGTGGTGATATCATGTATCGATTCATGTTAACCGACCCCAATATCTTTTGGGACTAAGGCTTGGATGTTGTTGTTGTTCTAGAGATGGAATAAAATATTGCAATTAACGATTGAGTGAATTTTTCATTTTTATTAAATAAGATAGTAATGGTAATATGGTCAATATATCATTATTTCCCTTTTACTCTCCTCTTGTTACAAACAAGCTAGAGAGTTAAAATTAGGCCTGGGACCGGTTCGGTTCCTAGGCAAAATATGTGGAACCGTTTGAAAATATGAAATTTTACTAACGGTTCGGTTCTTATAAATTATTTGATAGAACCGATAAGGAACCGAACCGTTCTTAACGGTTCGGTTCTTGTCATTTAACGGTTCCTAGTCTTTGATTTTTTTTACAAATTACAACTAAATTTTTGGCAAAAAGAGATTCAACGTTGGAAATTACAATACAAATATGTTGAACCAGTTAAAGAGAATAATAATTTTAAATAGTTTGGACCTTCCATGTTCCGACCCGCTGGAGTTTGGACCTAATGAGAGGCCTAAGAAGCCTAAGAGAACCGGTTGAAGTGAATAATAGTTTTAAATAGTTAAATAACTAAACTAAAACAATGAATGTAATATAAAAATAAGTAATTAAATATGCATTAAAATATATATACTCCTAAGAATATGTATATAATTTTAATTATTATATATAACGGTTCCTTAACGGTTCTTGGTACATATTTTTTTCAGGAACCGAGAACCGAACCGTTAATAAAAAATAGGAACCGAACCGTTAACAAATAACTAATAAATGTTGGAACCGAACCGAGTCATAACGGTTCGGTCCGATTCGGTTCTCCGGTTCTTGGTTCCAAAGTCCCGGCCCTAGTTAAAATCCCTCACCTCCCTTTCTCTGATGAACAAATACACTGTGAGCGAGATAACTTACCGTGGAGAATATCATGAAGAGATCCATTTGGAGCAAACTCGTAGGCTAATATACGAGCACCACCGTCCACACAATAACCCAGTAGCTCAACCACATTATCATGTTTAAGTCTTGACACCATCGAAACCTGAAACATCATGTATTTTCAATTTGAATTCAATGCACGTGTATGTATGATATGAGACATTTGTCTACAGCAATTACCTGTCCTAAAAACTCCCGATCAGGCTGCTTACTGGAATCCAGCTTTTTTATGGCTGCAGCTCGTCCACTTTCAAGAATACCATAATATACCCTTCCATATGACCCCTCACCAATCAAAACCTTTGTGCCAAAATTTTCTGTGACTTTTTTCAGCTCATCAATTGAGATGGCAGGGACAGTGATAGGGAGGAGGTTTACAGGCTGTGTTTCTCTTTGTGCACTTTCAGTAGCATGTTGACCCGTAGGGCCTACATTTTTAAAGTTCCAATGAGTTTTCTTTGATTTTGATCAGTCCAGTATTGATTACCTAAAACTTAATTGTTGAAGACTAAGAAAAAAATTAAAAGAATAAAGGCATGTTGTGTATGCTTTCATTGTTTGCAATGGAACCAAAAACTCACTGTTTTTTGTCTTGAGAATATGATGAATAAAACAAAATAGCTCACTAAACTGTCTACGCTTCTTTGTTAGGAAGCTACAGCCAACCAATGCAATTTTTGACGTGATTTTAGTACAACGGTAAGAATGCGTACATCCGACCCCCTTACCCCACCATAGGTGGGAGCCTTTGCGGCACAGGGGTAATGATGAGATGATAGGCGTGTTGTGTATCAAGGAAAAAGCCAGAGAAGGAAAATGAAAATGAAATAGCATTAATACTACGAATATATATAACAAAAATAAACGAATACTTTTTCGTTGTTTATATAATAGAAATAATAAAGAATTAAACTGAGATGAAAATATCAGATGCAAATATATTCAGTTTGAGTGTATCTTTTGTTTTTTCCCAAAAAAACTTTGCTTACGATCTTACTCCACATTTTTCTCTCTATTGACTAACTCTAGTATTTTCCAGGTTCCAAAATGGACCCTGAGATGAGAAAGAGGACAAACCTGCTGAGCTATGAGTCATGTACTTTCCATTATTGTCAGGAATCCTTTGCATGTCATCTTCATGAGTGCAACACCCGAAGCAACTCATGGCTGTAGTTTCCTTTCACTTTTTAACAGGTTCTGCATTAGTCATGACAATTTCAAAGAAGTTACAAAAAACTGTTGGTAAACATTTCACTTTCACTTGATCAAAGGGTAATAAGACTCAGGCTAATTCTATAAATTACAGAAACAGAAAAAGGTTCAAAAAATAAAAATCAAGGAAAGTCATCTTCGTGCAAATCAACTACCAGCAGTGGCCAAACATCACCCCACCCCACCCCCACCAGTCGAGTCCACAATTAGGTGGATCCAGTTCACCCTCAACCAAACAAAAGAACTTACACAAAAGAACCAAGCATGAACTATAGAAACATCTGAATTAAATTAAATATCCCTAATAATCATAGTGAAAGTCTGAAGACAAGCAACGCGATCCATAATCAACAAAGGTAAAAGAATGACTAAACAAAGTTAAAGAAATCTGGGAAAACGTTTTGAGAGGCCTCACGTGGTTCGATTGCAAGAAAATCCGCCGCAAGAAGTTCTCCGATCAGCCGCCGGAGAGAAAAGGGGGTTCGGGGTTCAATGAGCTAATCTGAAATGAACGCGAGCAATTCCAATCTCAGAACTTTGGTAGTAACTCTGACCGAATCGAGAATGGGTAGAAAGAAAGAAAGGAGAAGAAGAAGTTTACCAGCAATGGCAGTTTGGGTTTTTAGTTGATGCGTCTCCGTCTTCTCCCCTGGTCCTTGACTTGTCTTCACAAGCGTTCAGACCCGAAAGAGAAAAAACGTCTACAGTTTCTTTCTCCGCCTACCACCAAAACGTCTACGCGTTTAAAACACGCTTATATCTCAGCTTTAAAGTAATTGTTACTTGTGGATAATGAATGATATACTAAAAGTAATTACACGCATGCAGTATCATTAAAAATTTCTACGGCCACACTAATTGTCTTTTAAATGTAAGAATTGTAAGTTTGTAACCAAGGTATTGTTACTAAAGTTACTATTATAATCATTGCATTTAGTTGTTGCATTTTTATAACCAGTTTCATATAACAAATGTAACAACTATTATCATATTGAATAATAATAATAATAATAATAATAATATGAGCTTATGAAAAATAGTCTAGGTGTACCTTTTCAAACTTCATTGTTTATATCAAAGAGCTCTTAGTAAATTTATAACTTGCAACTTGTTGCTATAAAACACACATGCTTTGTTTAATATATAGTATATAATACGGAGTATAATATAATATACTTATATAAAAGAAAATTCTTAGCCTATAAGCTATATGAGTTTCCCATGTACCATTGTTTCAAAACGTGGATAAATGAGATAAATTGTCCGTGAGGGAGATTATTTATCTAGAACATACTCCCTCCGGCCCTTAAAAATTTGGCACTTTTTGTTTTTTTTATTGTCCCACTAATTTAGTCATTTTTCATTTATTTAAAAGAAATTATGGTTCTTTGTAATTCTTTCTCATCTGCACAAACTTCAATTCACACAATTTTTATTTTATTATTCTATGTGGCGGTCAAGTTTGGCCAAGTTTTAAGAAACAGGGGGTACTTTATGTAATTCTTCTGTTTTCGTAATGTATGTTGCGTATAATTTTGGCGCTGATTTAAAAAAAGATAAAATAGATGTTTTACATTTCAAAAGATAAGAAAAAATAAGATGATTCCATAAAAAGTAAAAGATGAAATGATGTAGAAAGAATAAAGTGAGAGAGTAAAAAGTCAATACATTCAATTATAAAAGTGTATACTTTTTGAACAATTCAAAAAGGATCTAAAGTTAATATTCATGTACGGTCCCTTGAAAGAAATGATCACAATAATATCATATTATAATATCAAATATTAAAAACCTTCCAATTTGTCCAATCAGTTCAAACACAGGAACAAAAAATTCTCTGAGATCCCTAGTTTGAATCCTTCTGGAGATCGAGCCACTAAAAGCGTATCTAATTGTTATTAGGGGTCTAGTCTTATTCGTATAAAAAAATAGTATCGGTGCCCTTTACCAGGTTTAACTTGAACCTTACTCGTTGTGGAAAAGTATCTACCAATTAATCTTAGCTTTGAGAGAATAATTCACTAGCTGCTCAATTAATGCGGCAAGTTCTTGATCCCTTAAAACTCCGTGTACATAAAAATGATAAAATCAATATTCTTAATTTATTAAGAATATTGTATTATTTATTCTTATTCTGTGCTCATTGTTTAGAAATGCTATTTTACTTTTACTATAAACAATTAAATAATGTTTTCTATCCAAGAGAGTGAATTTTAAGTAATATAAAACTACTATTTCAGTCCTGCAAAATTTGGTTTGCGATTGGTTTGCTTATTCTTTTGTTTGTATAACTATTGCAGTTCTATTTTGTCTGGGGCCTCAAATTAACTGAGGATATTCTTGCTCTCACTATTCATAGATTATAACATGTGTTTGCTAAATGCATAAGAAATAGATAGAGATGGACTTGGTACATGAAAAATGAAATAAGAGAAGAGTCTTAGAATGTTTTTATTTGGACTAGAGTTTTCTTGTATGGTCTGGTTTCTGTGTATTTTATAATTTTCCAAGTCTGGGCTGGTCTGATTTGGTCTGGTATGGTCTGGGACTGAAAACGGTCCAGGTAAAAACATCCTTAATCACATGATTCTATTAGGCTTTGTTTGCAACCACTTGTGCTTAAATAAGTGTTTGGTAGTGTTTGGTAAAATAAGTGTTGTTTGTGTAATAGAAAAAGTAAAAAGTAGATTCTACACGTAAGCCGGGAAAGTAAAAGTTGGTAGTGTTTGGTAAAATAAGTGTTTTTTTCTTAAAAAAACCAACCAAATAGTGTTTTTTTCAATATATCTTTTGTTAAAGTTTTGTAAGAATCTATTAACATAATCGAAAAAGATTGACTTATTATGTGAATGAAAATTTAAACATACAATAATATATTGATCAAAGCATGCCTTAAGATTATATACTAATTCAAATGTGAATGTAAAATAATAATCACTAATTGTTTTAAACATGACGCACAAATTTAAGAACGTGCGCAATACTCTACCCACAATTATCAACCAATCACATTTGTGCATACACACAAATATCAATCTAATTCCTATTGTGCATAACAATTATCAATCTAATTCCACATCTCTACTATATATGATGCGTAAAATATGCAAGTTAAAAAATATCCACTAGAAGTGAATAATTTGTATAAAGTGTTTCATATAAAGTGTTTCATATATGGAATTGAATAAAATGCATTTATTCATATGATGAATTGTACTTTTGATAGAGGTATGCCGACTAGACTGAAGGGTGAAACAATTAGGCCTGCATTACTGTATGGCGTAGAGTGTTGGGCGGTGAAACAATGTCACATTCAAAAGATGAGTGTGGCGGAGATGTGCATGCTGCGTTGGATGTGTGGGCATACTAGAAAGGACCACGTGAGGAATGAGACAATCAGACAAAAGGTAGGAGTAACACCTATTGAAGACAATATGCGGGAGTCGCACCTACGGTGGTTTGATCATGTGCGTAGAAGAGCGAGTGATGCACCTTCAGACGGGTTGAGATGTGTGGAGAAGAGGTAGGGAAGGGAGGGAGAGGAAGGCCCAAATAGACGTGGGTTAGGGGAGTCCGAAGTGATATGCTTCTTCTTGGGTTAGAGGAGGGTATGGCTTTGGAGGGAGCAAAGTGGAGGACGGGTATTCGTGTGGAGGAGTGATCTCGTATTATCTTTTCCCTTCATTTTTTTATCCTTTTATCCTTATATATAAACATTATTTTTCTCCTTTTTTTAATATCATTTTTATTAGGTATATTCATCTCTTTTTATATTATTTTTTTCATAATAGCTTATCTTTTTTATCTTTATTTTCTTTCTTTTCCTTTTGGTGGTGATATCATGTATCGATTCATGTTAGTCGACCCCAATATCTTTTGGGACTAAGGCTTGAATGGTGTTGTTGTTGTATGAATTGTACTTTTGAAAAAAGAATATATATGATGTGTATACAATACATTATGATTAATGCAAAAGTACATGACTATGTATTTAATTTCTTTTTTTTCAACCCTGGAAGGCAAACCACCCATCGGTGGGGCAAAAGTCGGGGTAGCATTTGCCAAGTTTTATTAAAAATAGTAGAAATAATACAACAAGAGAGGGGGATCAAACCAAAACCTCTCAGAAAATACACAAGAATAACAAACAAACCGAGAATATTGGGGGAGCTATACCTAACCCAATATATGCCACACAAAAAAATACGGAGTATTAAATCTAAACGAGGGAATACAAAAACAAAATCCATCGGATAGGCCCACTTTACAAAAACCGGCAAATCAGATGGTCTGCGAAAAGTAACGGGCTGAGAGGCATGAAGATCGGCCAGATAATGTGAAGCCCAATTGTCTTCCCAATTGTTTTTACAAGAATATTACTAAAATAAAACTTATTTACATAAAAATGACTATTCATTACTACAACATAGTGTTGTGGTAACTAAGTTCAAAACTTAAACATGAATTACTATTATTTCATGACTACTCTAATAACTAATCACATTTTTGTAAACCATCTTTATTTTGGTCATATTTATGTAATTATTTCTATTTGAAATAATTACATAAATATGACCAAAATAAAGAATATTTACAAAAATATGATTAGTTACTAGAGTAGTAATGAAATCATAGTAATTCATATTCAAGTTTTGAACTTAAGTTACTACAACACCATGTTATAGTAATGAATAGTCATATTTATGTAAAGGGAAAATTGTCAAATAGGTCCTCGAACTTTCATAAAAAAGTCAATTAAGTCCTTCTGTAGGAGACTCTGTCCGGTCGTCGCGATTTGGGGTGGTTCCCGGTGCAATTTTTTTATGAAAATTTTTTAGCGTCTTATTCATAAAGTCTAGTTTACTCATACCAAATTTCAGCTAAAAATTTAATTGAAAGTGCATTCAAATTAATTCGAGAACACAAAAATGAGCAGTTATCTTCAAGAATTAATTTGAATGTGTTCCCGATTGAATTTTTAGCTGAAATTTGGTATGAGTAAACTAGACTTGGTGAATACGATGCTTAAAAAAATTCATCAAAAAATTCCACCGGGAACTACTCCAAATCGCGACGGCCGGACAAAACCTCCTATAGAAGGACTTAATTGACCTTTTTATGAATGTTCGAGGACCTATTTGACAGTTTTCCCTTTACGTAAATAACTTTTATTTTAGTACTATTCTTATAAAAAAAACCTTTTGTATATGATATCTAGACGAATCACACAAAAATCTTAGTTAGGCTTATTAAGTAACACTCAAATATGTTAATTAGAACAAAATAGATCAAACCATCATTCACTCATAACATGCATATTAAAAAATGAATAAATCATCCAACAGATTATTAAAATTCATAAATTAAAAAAAAAAAAAAAACTTAAATGTTGGACTCATGATTATCAGTTTCATGGATTGGTCTTTGCTTGTCCATAGTTATTTGTAAGAAGGTTTCATCCCCCCCCCATAGATGTATAATCCTTATCCCTACTTTAATCTTGTACAGAGCATCAAGTATTTTACGTAATATATGAAATAAATTAAAATATTTAATGTCAATATGAGTTGTCTTATCCAACACAGACCACAGAACGAATGTAGGCTTTAAAAATTGCACTATCAATGTAGCTTTACACTCTCAACACTGTAGGCTTGTAGTTTGTACCTTTACGACTCCCAACAAGTGAACACACCGGAATGATTATTGTACATATGATGACCCGACCTAGTATCCATATATTTTGGGTGGAAAACCCGACACTTCTTCCACTATGTTTTGTATATAGATAGATTCCAATTTTCTAAGATAGGGTAATTTTGTTCTTCTTCACCCCTGAGAGAGGGAAGAGTGCGACTCCAACTGACGTTCAAGTTTAATGAATATAAAAACTCCCAATTTTCTTTTAATTTTTTCCCGTACTCGCGACGTGCGCAACACTGCAACAGAGAAAGTTTAATCCGATTTTGTGCATAAGAGTGTATTCAAACTTTCAATCATTCATATACAATTATAAATTCATGGATTGTTTAGAACTTTTAACTAATTGATACATATGTCTATTCTTTATTATTTTTCCCTTCCTTTCCTCGAATACATCCACAATCTTTTTCTATTCAATTGCTACTCATCACAAGTAAGGTTCAACACACTTTGATTCAGACGGGAAGATTAGATTGAATCAAATTGGCCAGACCGGTCTTGGATCGGTTATATATCGATTTGATTTTCGGCTCAAGATTTTTCAAGTTTTATGTTCCTGCCCGGTCCAAACCCATAATATTTAGGTCCCTATCGCCGGTTGGATCGTAATTAAATAACTATTTCTATTTTTAGATATTTAATTAATCTAAAATATTACTACGTAGTATTAAACAAATATTAAGAATTAATTTAGAGAAATGTAACGCATATGGATTGTGGTTAACTGTTTTTTAATTCCTTGACTTTTTATGAATGAATTATTTTGTTTCATATAAATCTATGTATTTCATATGAATGGTATTTATGTATTTTATGAATGATTGAAGTTTAAATAAGAGTCATGTTTACTACCAAAAAAATATGGTATTTGCATGGATATATTTGGCACGGATTGACAGATGATTTCGTGCCAAATAGCGCGTGTCAAAATATTTTTGGCACAAATTTAGCATGTCCCTGCTAAATCCTCTATAAATTTTGGCGGATCTCTGCCAAAAATACTCGAGTTTTTTTGTAGTATATATTCACAAGTCTAAACATAATAGGACTTCATAGTTACACAAGATGGTAAGAAATAATAAAAAATATTAAATGAAAAAATGCAACTCATGTAGTAATGTAGAGTATTGCAAGAACAAACCATGCAAGTTTATTATCTAAATAGCAAAAATTAAAATTTTGGAGGATGAGCCACAAACTTGCTCTCATTATGTTCTATCGTTACATTACCCTAAACAATGGGTAAGAATGATAACCTATACACCAATTATTGCGTGCAGCAGGAAAACATTTCTAATATATTTTTATATGTGCAAGGGCGTAACCACAATCGAGGGTTGATAAATGCATGTCCCGGTGTACCTGAATGATTTTGGTCCTATTCTCGAACTCTCTGCTCCATTTATTTATAAAGAATCAATATTGAAATGATTAGTGTATGAATATATGAACATGCAATTTTACATTGATTAAAAATACTTTCAATATGTTTATCACAAGTATTAGTAATATATAATTTAAAATTAAATATAAGTATATTTTCTTAAATTAAGACAGTTTACACTTCCGTAAAAGTTGTCTGTGTATTCTCTTTCTCTAGATTGCTCGAAGAGTAAAAGTCAACACAATTCTTTATTATTTGTAGAGCATTTAAAATTTAATGAGAAAAAAAATCTACTCTTATGAACTTTCTCCCAGGTTGTTGCAAGTTGCAAATTGCTCACTATATTCTTTCTCCCGGGTCTTTTATCTTCTTAAAATGAAATAATGAATCACACTTTAATTTTTATTTAAGCTACCTTGTGTATAGAAAAAACATAGAATGATAACAAAATAGGGGTTGATTTGCAAACCTTACATATTGAAACCGCCCTCGTCAGGGGCGTAGCCAGGATTGATGTTTACCCTGGGCCGACTATACACTAAAAACATCATATAAAAATTTTAAAAACGACAATAGTCTGAACATAATGATTAAAATTCATTCAAATTCATAGTAATATTTTTAAACAATACATATCATGTTTGAATCTAAAATGTTAACTGAGTTTAATGGTTGTCCTTACACGCAAACGATTTTTCACCACTTCTTCTTTACTAATCCTAGCAATGACTTTGTCAATATGTTGACTTGGTTTCATTAAGGTGTCACAAGTCACACTCTTATTATGAGGTGAGGAAGGGGATGAACCAACATGCACAAGAAACACACATTCTTTACCCTGATGAACTCGTTTCCAACTATCAAAACCAATAGTCACTAAAGCCGAAACACAAGAAGAATGCACAACATCACTGAAGACAAAGCATGGAAAACAATATGCCTTATGTGTTGTTGGAGAGTATTCCAACCAATTAAATTCATTGAACCAGGTAGCTTGAAAACGATGCATCATATCTTTGTAAACTCGGCCTTTGTAAAAATTCAATTTTGATTGATAAGGTCCAAACATCGAATAAGATCATCTAATTGCATATTGTCATCTCTTTTCTCTAACAGTCAATCACTTATCGTTTTGCATTTTTCCGGATCCCGCTCAATTTAAAGTGCATCAGAATCTACTTCCTCTTGAGCGGATGAGATATTAAGAGTTTCAACTGAGACATTTAACTCTTGTCTACTTTGAGTGCTTGTACTAGGCTTATAAAACGGACGTAATGTGATTTTTGCCTTTTTGAAAGTAGATTGAGGATCCATACTTACTAAAATTAGCAAAAAAATAAAAAACTAATCAATATTTTATTTGAATTCATATAGTCCTTCCTATTAATATTTTTAACAATTCACAAAATCACATTTGACATTCCTAAATTCTAATTTATCATTTTACAATTCCAAGCACACAAATCAATTCAAAGCACACTAAGTGACTAAAACAATCTAAAATAACAAATAAAATACTTACATAATGAAAATACGTAAGTGTTAGTAACAAAGCATACTAACACTAAGTTACATTGAACTAAAAATTGAAAAAATGTAGGTCACGATTGTAAAATCAAATTGTCAAATTAAATTAAAATTGTAAAATTGAGAAACCTTACCTTGACAGCTGCGCCGAAGCAGTTCAGCAGTCAAGAAATGGAAGGCTATGCGGGCTGCGGCGTGGAGACTGGAGAGTATTCCACGGTCAAAGGCGATGCGGCGGCCGGCGTAGAAAAGGCCATGCGCAGGGGCGGCAGGGCGAGCGGCAGGGCGAGCGGCAGGGCGAGCGGCAGAGCGGAGCTGCGGAGGAGAGCTGGAGCCTAGAGATGCGGCGTCTTGCGTCCGCCGTCCGGCGAATAGGAGATGCGAGTGAAAACGTCCGTCTCTGCTCTTTGGCTTTGGTTAGCTTCGTTTCTTTAGCTCTGGAACGGACGGTATATTTGCACTGGGCCAAACACTGGGCCACTATTTTTTTGCACTGGCCCATTTCTAAAAGAAATTAAAAATTTCATATATAATACAAAAAAAAAAAAAACTGCCCTGGGCCATGGTCCAGCTTGGGCACCCCCTCCCTCCGCCCCTGGCCCTCGTAGCCCAACACAGTACATGTCCAAGACCAGTTGTATCGTTCTGAATCACGAGTAAATAAATAATCGATTTTGATCAAATTGTGGAATGGGAACCATACTTATGACGAGTAAAAGCCAAAATAAAAGGTCCACACGTTTTTTGGGTGAGAGAACTAGAAAATAATAGAGAATGAATGTGAGTAACAATGAGTTAAAAGATCACATGAAACATGGTTTATAATTACATAAGAATGGAGATACACCTAGACTTTTGTAAACTTTTAAAGATTATAATCAATCCATCCGAACTTTTGAAATTCATGAACATATAAAAATATGTCATTAATTTTTTATACAATACACTCCCATAAAACATGATTTTATTTAGATATTTATACAAGGAAAATTTTAAATATCAACATTTTAGTAGCGAGCAAAGTCAAATTAAAAAAAAGATTGTGTTGTATTGAAAATTCAAAACCCGTCCAATATTGTCTAGTAATTATATAGACCCGGTCTTTGATTCAATATTTTGGAAATTATCATTCTAGTCTAACCATTATCCGTTCCTTGACTTGTGCTCACTCCTAGTCACATGCATGGACCAAGTTCCGAAATAGGTCAGTCTATCCTTGACCGGTATCACATTGGACACGATAGAGGACATCTCTTATTTGCAAAAATGAGGAGCAAATAAGCCGATATTGTCCCAACGACTATATTTTCGAAAAATGATGCTATGACTAATGTTGACCTGGACTGGTAGAAAGTCTTCGGGAGGCTCAAGGTTGAAAAGAGAAGGAATTGAAGCTTCCAACGGCTCTATGACCGTTGAACAAGAGGGCGCGGGAGCGGAACTAGTTTTTTCCAAAATTTGCAAATTGAGAATTTATTTTTAATGATTTTACAATAAGTATATTTTTAATATGGAGACTCTACCTCAATATTGATGTACATGGTAAACTTGGAAAAATTAAAGTGTGATGTTTTTATTTATCATTTTATGAAGGCAAAAGATTTTGAAAACAAAATATGACAGCTTGTAATTATTGCCAAAAATATATATAAACATAGTCAACCACGACTGAAGATAGCGGAAGTTCGAAAGAATAGAGTTTTTTTATTAATGTTAGAACAATATAAATATAAATATAATAAAGCATTACATGAGCATTGATTTTCTAACACTGTAAAGAAAGAGAATATAATCAACTTTTACGAAAGTGCTAGCTGTTTTGTTGAAAAACATACACTTTTATGTATTTTTAATACTACGAAGTACAGAGTATATTAATAATACTTTTAATAAACATGTGTAGTATATTTATCTTTCGTGTATCATCGTGTATAGATATATTATTCATACATTAGTCATTCTATTGATTTTTTTTACAAACAAATGGACGGGACATTTCAGGAACAAAATTGAAACTATATGGGTTATTCAGGTAAACCAAGACTAGTGTATATCACATATTAAGTATATCATCAGTGTGTGTGCAAACAAATATGAAGTTAATAGATTTATACGTAGTATAAATTAACATAATTCATTTATTAAAAAGTTTACAAATTTAAAAGTTCACAAATTTAAAAAATCATCACAATTTAAGAAGGATTTTTACCCCCTAAAAGTTAAAATCAATACGTAACAATTTCATACATGCAATATCCCTACATTCAAGAAAAAACTATCAATGTTCTCATTACCAAATAAAAACAAAAAATCTCAATCGGGTTCAAAAACATGATTTCTTTAAATACACATGATTATTATGTTTTTCTAAACGAGTATTGAGTAAATACTACTCCGTATTATCCAAACATCATAATGTTATGTTATAAGATTAATATATTATATTAATGTCTGGTAAGAGCAATACTTAACTTGTACTTAAGAAATAATTCTATTGAGTAAAATCGCTCTATTTATAAATATATGAGATAAGAATGATGGTTTGACATAAATATCACTGAAAGAAGAGTCATTGAAAAAAAAGGAGTCCTCTTACAATTTTCAATAAAGTGACTTTGAGAACTTTTATACCCCTCTCTCACACATCTACATGACCACTAGAGCCATTGATAATTAGAGCAACTCGTGCCGCCAATGACCACTGCCGACCAATGGTTGCCACATCGGTGATCGCCGCCATTAGTGACCACCACCGACGATAGTGACCACTACTAGCCAACTTGACCATTGCCAACAAAAGTGACCACCATCGGCAGTTACAGTTGCAACTTGCGACCACCCCAACTCATAACCAACACTACGCCCTGCCCTTCCAATGACAACCAACGGCCCTACATTATTCCTCCCAGCCCCCCCTAAACCCCTTCAATTCCCAAACCCCTGCACAATGCTGCCACGCCCTCACACCCCACCCCTAGCCCCTCCAACTGTTGTATCCCACCACCGTGTTATCTCATCATCGCCGTTCGTGTCTACCCCTATCTGACAACCCCCAGATGCTGCATGTTACCTATCACTACCATTGCTAGCCCTCGCCATTGCAAATCAGACCAAACGGGTGATCGATGAATGAGAAGAAGAAAGAGAGAGAAGAAGAATAACTTGGACGATGGCGTACCTGGACACGGCGAAGGCAAACCTATATGACAACGACATGGGTTGGTAGCGACAATGGCGACACTGTAATGGAAATCAGAGTCATAAGCGTCAATGGAAGCCAATAAGATTGGTGGGCGACAATGGGAAATCAGAGTGGACTTGGAGGCAATGGATGACGAAGGAGATGGCTGAACGGCAAATTGAAAGCAGACCAAGATTAAATTTTGAAACTCACAGAAGGACATTTCAGCCATTCAAATTCCACTATGGTCTCCTTTTGTCAAAATTTAAAAAGTCTTATATTTTTCCATGCATGACGAACCCATAGGTAATATTAGTGTCATTTTCATATCAATGTTATTTAAAGAAGTTGTTCAAAATAGAAGTACAAACAAGGAGTTTCTTTAAATATATATACAATATATTCCAAATAGGAATATGTAATGCCATCATCAAACTATATTATCGTATTATGATACTCCCTCTATCCCGAAAAGATTGACCAAAGTTAACTTTCACGTGGATTAACAAAGTAAAAACTATGTGGTTGAAATTTGTGCATAGGAGAGAGAATTAACTTTAATCACATATTTCTTACTTTAAATGGAAATGACAAATCTTTTTGGGACATCAAAAAAAGGAAATTTGGCCAACCTTTTCGGGACGGAGGGAGTACTAATTAATAATGCAGTGTTATATAAATGCATATAAATCTCGATAAGTCATAATATGGCAATATAGTTTTAGAATGACAACACTTGACCACACATTATATACCACAACCAGTTGTATCTTGAATACTTGACCCGTAATATTCAGCAGCCCAACCCTAATTTTATTCCGCCACACTGTTGGACCCGGTTGTTTATCAACATGACTCACTACTCGACGTGTATAGGTTCGTTGCCAGGCCCAATGTTCACCGGCGTATTCACGAAGCAAGAGCGGACGACAAACCAAGTCCCATGGCGGTAGAATCCAACCAGACATCCAAAGAGAAGTATCCCGCTCGTCTTCTCCAGTAACCCTCAATGTTGCAACACAATATTAAGCTTGGAACATGAGCAGACAATAATCAATAATCCAACCTCGTCCCGATGGCGGTGTGCTCACTGAAACTTCACAAGCTATTTTGGTTTCAGAATCCACACTTAAGCTGATGAAAAAGAACCACAATAAATTGTTACGTATGTCAAACTCAATGCATACAAGGCTTAAAGAAATGAACATATGCAAGTGTATATTTGAGCACACTACACGTTTCAAATGAGCTTTTGAATTTTTAATGCCCATTTTGTAAGTTACGTATGCTAATTTAGTACTAGGAGCATAGATTACGATATTTAGTTGCATGCTTCTAATGCTCAGTAAAGGAGAGTTGATATTCTATGAAAATGTCGTGATAATCAACAAACAAAGCTTACGATTTTCATATCAATGCTCATTTTGTAAGTTACATATGCTCATTTTAAAATGTATAATCAATGCATATTTCAGAAGTATCATGTTATATTAGGTTCGCATATTGAAATTCATTAGACTTGATTATAGATATAATTTAAGAATTTTTATAAAAGAAAAAATTAAAAAAAATGAATTAGAAGATATGAGGTAGACTGGTAGAGAACTAGAGATCACGATGCTAAATATTAGACTCCTAATACTCAAAAGAATAAGTCTGACACTCACTAAAAATGAATTAATGCTCATTTAAAAAAAATCGCAATTTTCACAAAAATTACGAAAATGTCATCGACTTTACAATGTAAGCCATACAGTCGACGGTACGATATATGAACTCATACTTGACTCATATTTTGAGAAAAAATTTAACACTTCTATTTAGAGAAAATGCCTTGATTAAATATTTCCAAGAATTTCTAAAGTAAATAAGCAAAATATTAAATTGGTTAGAAATCAATCTAAAGATTTTAAATAGCAACTATTAACGCATCTCTTGCCATAAAATGGTTGCTTAAAAAAGTGACAAACAAACAAATAACTACAATTGAATTCCCCCGCTAATATTATGAGCTTTTTGGTAATACCAAAATCGGCCGAATCGGCTGATTTTGTTAAAATTTATGAAATTATGGTTGATTCTCCTGATTTATAAAAAAACTTTAAAATATGCTTTAGTAATAAAAAAACTTATACGTAAAAATAGATAAAATAGTCATCTACAGTAACTTCAGTCAATATAGTCAGAAAAGTAACTTCAACCTTACTTTTTCTCATTATTACACAATTCATCGCGCGAAATAAAAAATTACGTATTTGGTGAAAAAGTTGGCGGAAAAACCTAATAAGCCGAAAAACAGGCTTACCAAACCTAATAAGCTCATAAAGAAGAATGAAAACATGTCTACCTTGCACTCATGCATTAATGAATTAAACTATTCTAACCATTAAAATTTTGAATTCACCAAACGCAAACATTTAACATTAATTATGCATCATTTGTATCAAATATGCTGATTGACGTGATTGTTCTCAAATTAATGAAATTCCGTAATATCAAAATCATCCAAATCTGACGATTGTTATGAAATTAATGAAATTCGAGCCGAAATGATTGATTATACGGATTTATGAAGAGTATCTTTGGCAACCCAGCTTATCAGGCTTATCAATTATTTTTTTCACCAAACATGTAACTTTTGATTTTATGTGCTGAATTGTGTAATAATAGAAAAATAAGATTGAAATTGCTTTTCTGACTGTGTTGGTTGATGTTAATGTATTAGACCGTTTTAACTATTTTTACATATTTATTTCTTTATTTTCTAAATAAAATATATTTTAAATATAATTTTTTCAGAATTCAACAATTATATTATATTTTATCTCATCCCATTATGGTGTCAGAAGTAATCTACGTAGTAGTACGTAGTATAGTATATCATTACCAACTCGATACTAAAAAAATTATTTTATGAACAGAGATACCCTAACATTAACGCTATAATTGTGCTAAATGCTCCTGAAATGCTGAAAGAGCAAAAGCTTACTATGAATTTAATGCATTTCTTCCCAATACTCCAAACTCCAAAGCACTCCTTTTAATAAGAATAATAATGATGTTTGAGAGAGAAAATGATTGAAAGTTAGGTTTATTTTGACGAATTAAAGGAGCTTTAAACGCGGATTATGCTATTACAGCGTACAGAACAGTGGATTATGACGGAGTATTACGCATTATATATGACTCATTATTTCATTTCATTTCATTTTATGAAATTAATCGCTTTTGCGGCATGTCGCTATCGGATTTCCACTGGGCTCTGTCCTTTTACGGTTTTCATTTTTCTCTCGCGGTGATAAATATGGAATATCAAGCACTTCATTCATTCATGCATAGAGAAAGTACAAAAAGTGTGTTTATTTACATTTTAATTTCAGGAAGGAGTAAAAGAAAGAAACGTTCTTGGATTTCTTTCTCTCTAAATTTTAAGTTGTGGGTCTGAAATTCCTATATCGCTGGCTATCTGTCGTGGAGAGCTACACGTTTTCCGATCAAATCTCAGCGCCTGCTTTATCGGCAAGTTTCAGTTTTTAATTCTTTTTTGTAATTTATTCATTTTCTGTTAGTTCTCCATCTCCTACAATTACTGAGCTTGTCCGCTGGAAGCCAAGTAAATTAACTACACCCGCAAAATACTGCGTACACACAAAGACACAATTGTAAATACGTCTAAGCGTTTTGGGTTGTCGAAACCAGAATCGTTTTTTGGTGGTTTAGAGTATAAAGAAAAAAGCAAGGGTTTTCTTCAGGGGAAAATGTAGCTGAGCTGATTTGAACAATTAATCGGTACTTGAGTAGCTCTTGTTTTGGTTCAATGGATGCGTCTGGGCTTTGTTCTTCAGTTTGTACGGTTGTTCTTATGAGGTAGTTTTAGCTCAATTGGTTCATCCTTGTAAATCATTTGGTGATTTTGGGTTTCTCTGTAATTCTGTGTTATTGTAAAAAAAAGAATTGTCGGATTTGTGGGGATTAACCTGGTAGAGAAGTGTTGTTGATCCATGGAATCAAGGATTGGTGGGAAGGGTCATAATCTTTATGGCCCAGTTGTTCCTGATTTAAAGGCGCTAGGGAAAAGAAGTGTGGAGTGGGACTTGAATGATTGGAATTGGGATGGTGATAGGTTCACTGCCATCCCTTTGAATTGTTTGCCGTCAGATTGTAGGAGTAGACAGTTATTCCCTGACGGGTCTCAGGTTCCGGTGGCAAACAATAACGGGCTTTCATCTGTTTCCACTGAATTGGTAGTATTAAATGAGAAAGAGAGGAGGATGGAAATGGAGAAGCGGAGGAGGGTGGAAGATTCGAATGAATGTGAGTCACTTAATTTGAAGCTTGGTGGTCAAGTGTTCCCTATCACAGAGGATGAGATGAAAAAATGGGAAGGAAAGAGTGGAAAGAAGACGAAACTTGCAGGTGGATCATCTACCCGAGCTGTTTGCCAGGTGGATGACTGTCAATTGGATTTGACCAGTGCTAAAGATTATCATAGGAGACATAAAGTATGTGCAGCGCATTCCAAGGTCACCGAAGCCCTTGTAGGAAATGCTATGCAGCGGTTCTGTCAGCAGTGCAGCAGGTCTGTATTTGTTCAGTGCTTTGAGATTTTTTTAAATTTTGTTTGCACTTGTGCTACATTATGCTCTTCCACCCCCCACCCCCCAAGAAAAGAATAAATAAATAATAAAAATTGTGTGGAAGTTTCAGTACTAGTTTATGAGAAGCTTGGATATGGTAACTGCTAGGATCTTTATTGTGTCATGTCCAGTTATCAGCTTTTGGCAAGTAAGTGTAGGTCTGCTTTGGAAAATACATCTAGAAGAAGAGCCATGGAGCATGTTTGGATAACTTATGGCATATGTGCTTTCCCATTGTTGTGTTTTTAAGCCTTTCAGAGCCTGTTTGACGTACTTATCAAATAACAAGCACCTGTCCATTTTCCTGCCAAACACTTAATTTTTCAAGTGAAAGTACTTTGTTCCCTCTAAAACCACTTATTGTCTGAAAGAAGTCATCCCAAACAGTCTCTCCCAGTTTGATGCTTTCATTAGTAAGCATGATTTTTTCTTTTGAAATATTTCAAACTGTTTCCACTCTCTGACAGACACATCTTTCATATGTGGGTACATTTCGATCTCCAAAAAGCACTCTGTTATCCCTATTGCTCTCACGCTCCCACCAGTAAAATTTTGGAAATATTGTTTTTTCTTGGATATATAGTGTTATACTGTTATCTAATTTTTAGACAATTAATTGACCGTATAAATTCCTTGCAAATGGTCCCACATAGTTGGATTAAGATGATGGTGACAATGACATTCATATTTTAACATAAAGGTATAAATGCAAATAAAAAACATAAATATATAAATGCTTATTACAATTGAGCAGGTTTCATATTCTTCAAGAATTTGACGAGGGGAAGCGAAGTTGCCGTAGACGCCTAGCTGGACACAACAGCCGGAGAAGAAAGACGCATCCAGAAAATGTAGCCAATGGAATACCCATGAATGATGAGCAGGGAACTAATTATTTATTAATTAGTCTGCTAAGAATACTAACCAATTTGCACGGTAAGTGTTAATCCAACTTAGCATTCCTTGCCCGGTTTACTAATAACTCTTACGTTGTAACATTCATTAGTCAATGTGCCTTTTTCTTCGAGTATTTTCTGATGTCAAAACTCAATTAAGTTATAAATTGATAAAAAATTATTGGGCAGAATATACATATCATTACTATATGAGCTGCTTTTCATCCATGGGTGATGGATGCCGTGAGTACATTCAATCAAGTGTTGCTGCTAAAACTAAATTTAAAACATTAAATTCTTGAATAGATAAAAACTGGTAAGGGCATCCTAGGGATGAACAACTTCCCAACGGCATGCATTTTAGATTGACTTCTATGACTTTCTCCTGACCATTCATGTTATGCCAGCTTTGGCCAATGTTGGATGCATCCCTCTGCTATGACTATTCATACATAAGACATACTCCGTATTAGATAAAAACTACCGATTTGCATAAGACATTATACATAAGACATGAAACTAATTGATGCATAAAAACTAATTTATTAAAAAATAATTATTTTTAATAAATTCGTTATTAAATTTAATAAATAATCCGTGAAATTTTTTGTTGAGAATTATCACAAAAGTAGTTGGTAATAAATTATGAATTCCTTTGTCTTAAATTAAGAATTTTAACCATTCATGTTTTAAATTGATGCATTTCATCTTCCAGGTCCTTGGTTGATAAGTGACCTATCTTTCACGTCCAGAAACTATACAACTCCCACTTTGTTAGTAAACCTAAGTTTTTTTGTGACGTGATGAATGGTTGACCAAATAACGTTGCCTTTTTTAGGTGCAGCAAATAGCTCAGATCAAACAAAGGATCAGGATATTTTGTCTCATCTACTAAGGAACCTATCAAGAGTGAATGGCTCAAATGATGAAAGGAACCTTCCTGGGACATTATTACCAGTATCACAGAATCTTCAGAATCCAGGAACATCTACTGGATCTCCAGAAAAGGTGTAAAACTTTATTCAGAGCTCAAGAGAAGCTATAAATTTCTTTTGGTTTCAAATTCTGAATATTAATAGATTATTTGCAGGACTCTCACCAACTGGTATGGAATTCTGCCAACTTATCGCCATCAAGAGTGATGGGAAAGGTTACCAATGCAGTTAATGCTGAATCTGGAGTTTCACGAAATCCTTCTGTACAGCCTGAAAATGGAATTGCGACGGATGATTTGGCCAAACAGACAAAGATGCATGACATCGATTTGAATGATGTGTACAATGACTCTCAAGATTGTACGGGAGTAGTATTAAAGAGTTCTGGCCCCTGTCAAATTCCCGCGAACATATCTACTGGTTATCCTTTATGGGTTTCTCAAGATCCTCATAAGCCAAGCTCCACTCGCACCAGTGGAAATACTGGTCCAACATCAAGCCTCTCACCTTCTAATTCCAGTGGCGAAGCTCAGGTCAGGAAGGTGAAAATCAATTTTCATGTTTTCCATCATAGTTTCTTTGTGCACTCGGATGACAATAATGATCATTTACATTGAAATTATGACCAGTTTTTTTTACTTGTTAAAAGATTAAAATTTAGTATAATAACTTTTATACAGTGGCAACAACAACATCCAAGCCTTATTCCCAAAAGATTTTGGGGTCGCCTAACATGAATCAATCCACATGATATCGGAGGCACACAGGAAAGAAATATAAGGAAAATAAAAAGATAAGGTAAAGATAAATACTCCCTCCGTCCCTGAAACAACTTCCCACTTTCCTCATTTGGATGTCCCTAATTTAACTTCCCATTTCCTTAAATGGCAAGTTTTCTACATCAAAACAGTGCCAAACAATGCAAAACAGTGTCAAACAGTGTCGAAACAGTGTCAAAACAGTAAAATTTACCCCTGATAAGTTTATTTCCTTAATATGTGTGTAGGTCAAACCGGGAAGTTGTTTCGGGGACGGAGGGAGTATAAGATAAAACTATAAAATAACATAAGAAAGATAAAAGATTAAAATAACATAAGAACATAAGAAAGATAAAGAGGATAAAAAGATAAAAGTATAATAACTTTTAAATTGATGATAAAAAAGGCTGCCTCTTGAATCTATTTCAATAGCAATAATTAAGAAAAGAAACACTTCAATATGTACTCCCAAATGTTTTATGTTGGATATTAATAATAATATCCAATTGATTCATATCAACTTTCCATCTTTCTCATTATGAGTTTAAATTGATTCAGAGTCGCACCGATCGGATTGTATTTAAACTTTTTGGAAAAGATCCTAGTGATTTCCCTCTCGCCTTGCGGAAACAGGTAACAACTGCCATGCTGTTTCTGTAGAAAGTCTTTAATAGCTTACTACATCAGTTTAATTTGATGTCATTTCCCAACTTTGTTGTTATCATTACTCTTTTTGTAGATTCTTGATTGGTTGTCGAACAGTCCTACTGAAATCGAGAGCTATATTAGACCTGGCTGTGTCATACTGACAATATATTTGCGGATGGACAAGTCCATATGGGAGGAGGTTTGTTCTTTTTCATTTTTCTTTCCAGAAACATTTGTAGCTAATCTCTGTTGATATGCAAAGTCAGCTTGTCAGCTGAATTATACTAGTGCACATTTGGGAGTAGGGTAGCGCTAATTACAGAATTCCTCCAGAATACCAACTTATTTGAATTCATTGGCCGAATTCTTAGAAAATAAAGAGTAGAGAAAAGTATTTGTGAGGAATTAAGAGATATGACACTTTCCCCTCATCTTTTAGATACTATTGCCTTTAATTTATTGTAAAATAATCTAGATTTTAAATTCATTTTCAGGCAGTTCATTCATCAATTAAACATCTGCTATAATCTTTGCCCATGATACATTTCAACCAAATTCTACCCTCACCAAATGAGCCTTTAGTTTTGTACATAGCATGGGCTTGTTTAATAACTTGAGCTTTTGATCATTTGTTAGTTCCTTATTGCAGCTCCAATTGCTATGTTCTCATATTGCTGCAAATTTGTCTGTTTTATTGTTTTGCAGCTTTGCTGTGAACTCAGCTCTAGTTTAAGGAAGCTCCTTGATTCGTCTTCTGATCCATTTTGGAGAACAGGATGGATCTATACTCGAGTTCAAAACCGTGTAGCTTTTGTTTTCAATGGTATCATATTTTATTTTGGTGCATCTGTATACAAGTTTTCACAATAACTTCTTATCAGTTATTTTTTACTATCACTAATATCAGTATAATAACTATTAGTAAAAATTATTGATAATAAGTTATAGGCTTTGTCCTAAAAATAAGTGTTACGGTAAGTTATATTTTGCATGTTAGAAATAAATACGCCGTATTTATATCTCTGTTGAAATGCTGGTCCTCCACCTGTGCGTGTGTAAAAAGAGTGAAGGACTAATGCTATGCTGAAACTTCATGGTGCCGAAAGCATTAAAGTTTTGCTTGTTTAAATGAATTTTAGTTTTGAAGCATAAATACACATCTTCTTAAAGCTTTTGACAACTTGCTAATTCTTCATTTGAGCTTTCGCAATTTCTTGAGATTTTTCACATGGCACATACATGTTAAGTAAACCCAAATTGAAAATAAAAAAAAATATAAACCAACAGGTAAGGTCATGGGCTACTAGTCCAATTAGGTTGACTTTACGATGGAATCCCAAGTCTTAATATTGTACTCAAACATTGAGATGCACACATATGACTGATATTGATTTTCTTCTCTCACAGGTCAGGTTGTTTTAGACACGCCTCTACCAGTTAAAGGCTACAGCAGCTGCCGGATATCAAGTGTCAAACCAGTTGCTGTTCCTGTCTCCAAAGGCGCTCAATTTTCAGTTAGAGGCTTCAACTTGTTACGGCCCAGCACAAGGTACACAAAATTGTTTTTCTTATGGAATTTTTAGTCTCTCTTTCTTCATTCATGGCTGCACTGACTACTTTGTTTCCCTTATCTTTTTCTTTCAGATTTCTATGTGCACTAGAAGGGAAATATCTGGTCCAAGGAAATTGTGATGATTTGGTGGGAACTAATTCATTAGTGGATCATAATGAGATCCAGTCCCTTAGCTTACCGTTCAGCATACCAAATGTCACTGGACGGGGATTTGTCGAGGTTCTGTTATGTTTTCGTTTAGCCTTTCTTTGGTTGGAGGGTTTTGAAAGAGGGGTAGGAAAGTGAAGCTGTGTGTTTGGCTGGGGATTTTAGGGAGTAATTTTTTTCCTTATTTTCGTTCACTTTCTTCTTTTCACCATAAATATTTTATTTTCTTATTGTTGTACTAACTAGACTACTAGTAGTTTAATGTTTCTTTTTTAATTAAAACAAATATCATTTGGATTACATCATTTTAATGTTGTTATTGAAGATACTGATTTCTCTCCACCCAATCATTAAACCAAACATTCTTTTTTTTTAATCGCCTCCATTTCTCCTCTCCCCTCATCTCCCTTCTTCTGAACCACGTACAAACTTATTGTTTGTAAATTAGGTATTAACTTTTAAGAACTTGGATTTGGGGTTTTATCCCTCTCACGATCAGTCTTTCAGATGACTTGACATTTTATCTCATAGAGACCCACACTCTTAACCGCCTGACACTTTGTATGGACAGTGCACTTTTTCTCGTAGTGGAATTCACCCTTTACGGTACTCCTTATCTGGAGCATGCAATTTATTTTCAGGGCATACATACTGCTTTAATGCTTACAGTATAACATCACATCTAGACTAAGTTTTTAAGTACTCCAAAGTCTTATATATTAATTTGTTGTTTTTATATTTACAGGTAAGGCATACTCTTCATCAATAGGAATCTTTTAAATCTTATTCTCATTGTTTCTAATTTTCTGTGTAGGTAGAAGACCATGGTCTCAGCAGCAGCTTCTTTCCATTTATAGTTGCTGAGGAGGATGTGTGTTCAGAAATCTGTACACTGGAGAGCATCCTCGAGGTTGCAGAAACTGAGTGTCTTGGGTCCCAACAGGAAAATGAGAAATTAGAAGCTAGAAGCCGAGCTTTGGACTTCATACACGAGATGGGCTGGCTACTTCGCATATCTCATGCCAAAATCAGATTGGTTTCCAACATGAATCGTCATTTCCCATTTGACCGGTTTAGGTGGTTAATAGAGTTCTCAGTTGACCGTGATTGGTGTGCTGTAGTTAAGAAGCTTTTGGATGTTCTATTTGCCGGCCTTGAGGATGAAGGAGAATACTCGTCTGTTGAGGTAGCATTGAGGGATATTGGCCTCCTCCACAGAGCTATAAGTGGAAAACACAGATCAATTGTTGAGGCTCTCCTACAATACTGTCCAGATATAGTGTGTGACAAAAAAGAATTGTCCAAAAAGCGAAGTAGCCTCTATGTGTTTAGACCGGATGCAGTAGTAGTTGGAGGCCTTACGCCACTCCATATTGTTGCCAGTCAAGATGGATTGGAGAATATGTTAGATGCCTTAACCAGTGATCCAGGACAGGTGATTTTCTCCTCATTTCCGGTTTTTCCTATTGCAATGGTGTGCCACCTCTTATGATTGGCTGGCAACACACATTAATTAGTTTAACTCTAACCTGCTTTTTGGGTCAAATGCATAAATTGTACCTTAACTATTGGTATTGTTGCGTTTTGGTACCTTAATTCTTAAATGAATCAAATCAGTACCATAACTATACATAAATGTTTCAACTTGAGATTTTATTCAAATTTGTGGCAAAAAAGTCCTTCATGGCGATCAAAATTCCATGTGTAGAGTCACCCTATAGTGATTATATGGACAAAAGTAAGGTGAAGTAGACTTTGCGCATAAAATTTCGGCCGCCACGTGTAATTTTGTGGCCGCAAATTTGACTAAATATCAAATGGAAACATTTATATATAGTTAAGGTACTGTTTGATTCATTTAAAAGTTAAGGTACCAAAATGCAACAATACCAATAGTTGAGATACCATTTATGCATTTGACCCCCTGCTTTTTTATAAACAACCAATTAATAGTCCCGGGACTTTAAGATTTGACTTCAAACGCCCAAAACAACTCTCCTGCCCAAAAAAGTCATGTTTTGGCCAAATGGTACACCATGTTAGTTTTGGCTATGCGCAACTATAGAAGTCATGAAATTGTTCTCATATATTACATACTTTTATGTTTGTTTAACTAAACTTGTCATATTTGTCTTGTTTGTTCCATTCTTTTCTTTGCAAATGACATACAAGATAAGTTTCATTGGATGAAGTGTGACTTATTTTTGAGTTATACTTGGGGGGGAGGGTGATATTTGCAACCCAGGTATTCCTCTCCTCAATGGTTGACATTGCACCCTACTCTAGGGTGCAATTGTGCAAAATCAAAGAAAACAAAACTTGAGATGTTAACTCAAATATTAAGATAAGCATGGAATATAAATGCCAAATTTCCCATTTTAAAAAGATTGGACATTTTTTAGCGGGATCACGGCATAAAAAATATCACTATTGCCCCATATTCTTCTTTGATGTTTATCTTGAGTTATAGGTTTGTGTCATGTATAAGGAAAGGTAGTGAAGATGTTTATTCTCTAGGTTGGCATGGAAGCATGGAAGAGCGCACGTGATAGTACGGGATTAACACCAAATGACTACGCATGCTTACGTGGCCACCATTCATACATTCATCTAATCCAGAGGAAAGCAACAAAGGAGAAATTACCCGGCAACACTGATGTTGTCTTAGATATCCCAATGGATAAGACACCAAATAGCAGCGGGAAGCAGAAAGAAACAATAGGCGGCGGTGGGTACAATCATAGAAGCATTACATCAAGTTTTCAGACAGAAAAAACGGTCACTACGAAGAGAGGTTGCAGGCAGTGTGATCAGAAATGGGAGTATGGAAGGTGTAGAAGAGCATCACTTGCAATTTACAGGCCGGTGATGCTATCTATGGTTGCGATTGCCGCCATATGTGTCTGTGTAGCTTTGCTGTTTAAGAGCTCACCGGAGGTGCTCTATGTCTTCCAGCCCTTCAATTGGGAGCTTTTGAAATACGGGTCAAGTTAACCTAGCGTAGATGAAAATAAGCTATAAATCCCCGCCAAGGTGCTACATGCCGCTTAGGAATGTATTCATTTGAGTTTTTTACACAGTAATTTGTAGTTACTTACACGAGCTCTTCAAATGTCACCGGGGATTATTGAAGCGGGTGTTATTGTTTTAGTTTGATTGCAAATCTATATATAATACTACATATAATATATGGAAGCTAGCTTCTTGTTATTAGGGGTGGACTCAATCCAGTTCTGGTGCAGTTTCAGATGCATTATTCTGAGTCAAGTAAAGGGTGAAATCGGAACTGCAACCGGGTATACCTGGTCCAGTTCCAGTTTTTGGGTCAGTTCTAGTTTCTTAGCATATTGTAAAAAACACAACCTGTCTGTTCTGGGCTTATTTTGGAGGAATCGAAAAAGAAAACCAGTTTAGTCTACATGCAAAAAACTAGCCAGGTCTGGAACCCGGGCCTCATGTTATGGACTTGTGGCTGGATTGATCGCTGCAAATATTGACTATGTCAAATGGCACAACCCCTTAGCTTTGATTCAGACTTCAGAGCTTTGTGATTTATAAGTCACAGTAATGGTTGTGGAGCCTTTTTATGCTCCACAAAAGGGGTAGATAAAATCACTTCATTAACTAATGGCTTGAGGTTGATCCTTTCTACTCATAGTCCTTTTCAGATTGGCGAAAATATGGACTAACGAAAGGATAGTTTGAGTTGATAACTTGATATAATGCTCTGGTTAGTTTTGACTTTTAAGACAAAGTATTCTCCTTTAGTTGTTAAGTAATCTTCCAAGTATAATTGAGGAGCCATGCATTAAGAAGACTGTGTTCTTGCGATTGTGAGTTCATTGTCCAGATTCGATTAAAAGAAAGACAAAACTTCAAAATCATGAAATATATCTATAGTGTGAGGAGACGCCGAGACGGGGTCCGAGAGTTTGAGACACCAAAATGTGAACACATTATAATGTTACTAATTTTTTATATGTGCATTGTCCAGATTGATAAAACATCAAGTGTTGTTTAAAGACTTTACGAAGTACCGATAAAGTATTTACTCTATACCCGATTTTATAAGAACAATATATATCTATATATGTACTTGCATTATATTTTATTTAACAAATTACGGGGTACCAAATTGCATTGAACTACTAACTTTCAGTCAGGTTTCAATGATCCATACAAAGTGGTTTTTGCTACCTTTTTTCTTCTCTAGTTATTTACTCATATGAGGACCCTAATATTTTAGTTTTAGACATATTGTTTCATGGGTGAGAGCTCGGGAACATTGGTAACATAAAGTTCTTCCAAAAAAGGGAAAATAAGTATTCTCCTTTAATAAATTATCAAAATTGAAAATCAAAATAAAGCTAGGGGATATTTGGTAACAATGTTCCATCATTTTCAATGGAACCAAAGACTCGCTATTTTTTTACTTTAGAATATGATGGAATAAATCAAATGACTCACTAAATTGTCTGTGCTTCTTTATTATGAAACAGTAGTCAATCAATGCAATTTTCGGCACGATTTTCATCATGGGTCACCCAGAAACAATCTCTATGTGCTTCACTAATGTGGTTGGATATTTGGCAACACTAAGTTCTTCGAAAAATAGGAAAATACTACCTCCGTTCTCTTTTAAATGCAACGTTGGACTTTTTGCACTATTCACATTTTCTACTTTGACTACGTTTGATTTATTAATGTAATAATATATATTTTTGAAAAAAATATTGTTAAATTTTTCTCATTATAAATTTTCAAAATCTATTTTTTAAACTTTTTTTACTAATCGGGAATTATAGATATTAATGGTAAAAGTTGTGCCTCGGCAAATGTGAAATGTTGACTGTTGCATTTATTTAAGAACGGAGGAAGTATGCTTTATGCTCAAATTAATCTACAAAATTGAAGAAAGATAATCAGAAAATCTAAAATAAATCAAGTTTCCTATATAGTGCTGGCATAGGCCAACGGGTTGATAGACACCAAAGACTTTCTTTTTCCTTGTGGGTTCCAGGCCTCACCGCCTCACCAAATTATAAAAAGTTAAACTAAAAGTTCTACTTTTCTTCCATATGTGGCTCTGTGACCTGTGTACTGGGTTAAATAAAAAGCAATAACTCTTATCATTCTCTATCAATTAAATATAGGATGGAATTATAATCAGTTCGAGTAAATATACGGAGTAACGAGTTCAGTATTGTGTAAACGAGTTCAGTATTGTGTAAACGAGTTCAGTATTGTGTAATAAAACAAAATTCCTTGAAATTGGAAAAAGTTGAACATTTGTTGCTAATAACATAAGTCGAACCACAGTGACGTCATAATCCCCAGGAGGTCATGGCAGATCATCATTCCTCCTTCCCTCTTGCAATATCAATGAGATAGGCATTGAGACGGTGGCCAAATATTTTGGTTGAGAAGGACTCTGAAACGTGCTGACGGGCCTTAAGGCCCATCGTCACAGACAGGCTAGGATCTGAGATGAATTTAGCCATGGCTGAACAGAACTCTTGTGGGCAAGGATCACATAGAAAACCGGTCACGCTGTCATCTACTGTCTCCACAGGACCACCACTGTTGCATGCTATTACGGGTTTATACGCTGCCATTGCTTCCAAAGGAACAATGCCAAAATGTTCATCCTACCGCCAAAAATATCAAGATTATAAATCAATGTCAAGGTTTGTGTGTTTGAATAGATCATAAATCATTGAGCATGGACACACCTTTGGTGTATAAAGAACACATAGACATTGAGAGAGAAGTGCATTCCTTTCAGCAGTAGAGCAAGAAGGGACGAACTTGACCCGTTCCGAAACACCTTGTTTTTCGGCCAGCAGTTTCAGATCCTTAAGATAATCGACATTCTCTCTCAATCGCTCATCAAATCCACCTGGGGCGAAAATGGGAATGAAAAGAGAGCCCACAGAATAACATCTTATCTCGTAGTAGAGGTTAAACAACAATCAAGCTATACCTAGAACAGTAGAAAAACAGTAGAGGTTAAAAACAATCAATCAATAAGTCGGACAGGACCGGGAACGGTGAGTTTACCCAGATACTGAACCGGAAAAATGGTCCGGACTGGAACGGTGGAACCAGTCAAACCTAGGATCAGAATGGACCAGTAATGGTTTAAAATTGGGTTCTGTGATCAGTCTGAAACCATCCCAAGAACCGGACCGGATCGGACACAGAGTCGGACCAAGTTTACCAGTTCCACCTTTTCAAAGACCTAGAACCTGAATGCATCCACCCCCAGAGGCCCAGATAAAGCTTGGTTTTATTATTTCACTAAAAACTTGTAGCAAGAAATAAACAAAACCTTTACCTGCAATAGTCAAGGAAGCATCAGCCATATTAGTATATTGATTCCCACCCCCTTCATGATCATTATAGAGCATGGCAAAGGCAGATATTGCCAATTCTATATTCTTTTTCCTTTCAAAGCGGTTGATCGATAGAAAGTTTAATAACCTAGATATAGTGGATAAACAATGTTATATAAAACTCAGAAAGTTCTATGAAGATTCAGTTGGCATTTGAATTTATGTATTGATATCATACATATAAATTGGTAAGCAGAGATGGAGAAGCCTCGTACTTGGTGTCTTCACTAGGTTTGTCAAATTGGTCAAGATTCACTGCTGGGTATAGCACGGCTGGTCTAATTCCACGCTCATTTAGATGCCTGAATGTATTCGCAAAAGTAGAACCCGTAAACTTGCTATTGACTAATATCATGTCAGCCATACCTACACAGTCAGAAAACAAAGAGCGTTTGAGATTAGTGGATGACTTATTTTGGGTTAAGAAAACTAAAGAAGCTTGAAAACAAACAAACAGCAGAATGTACATTGGATGTAGATTAGGAAAGGAATGGCCATTAGAAGTGTGTTTGGGATGTTTTTTTCAAAGAATAAGTGCTTTTTAGGGGGGGGGGGGGCGTTTACTCAAAATATAAACATTTGACGGAGAATGGAAAAGTGTGTTTGTAACAACACTTTCAATGCTAACGGTGTATTTTAAAAATGACTTTAAGTGCTGAAATGAGAAAGCCTTATAATAAAAGCACTTGCACCATATGTTATTCCAAACGAAATGTAAAGTTAAACAGCACTTTTGGCACACACAAAAAAATGAACCTGTAGTCATTTCTTCTAAAAAATCTATAGGCTTTCGGTATATCCTCCTGAGCATGGTCGTATGCTGAGCAAGTAACATATCTGGAAAATGGCAGTAGAAAATAACCTGCGTAAGGTATAAGATAATAAATTATCATGCCACACACTCCAGATGTAATTCAAATTTGAAATCTACTACCTTCATTGACTTCTTAAGCTTCATAAGTGGAATGACAACAGAGACTTGATCGGCTAGTACAATGTCAAATGATGGCCATAGAAACAGCACCGATAGAGCAACAAAAATGCATCTCAAATATGCACAGATTGCATGAAGTCTATAAAATATATTTCGGGGTAGGAATGAGCCATATACTTTTACGTGAAAGGTACCTGTGCAATTAAAATCAATTAGATCATGCATGTTTGCTATACCTTTTTTCAGCTTATCAGCCATATATTTCACCGACCACTGACTACACTTGCTGACTTATTTAACTATTTAAGCTGGCTTAATCAGTTCAATGAAAAAACACTCCTGGAGTTACTTTTTTTTTTTTGCTAAAATGACATTTCTACCTTCATTTCAAGATATTATTTTATTTAGTTTTCTCTTAAAACATGTGTGGTGTTGTGAGTGTTTTTTTTTATTAACCAATCATGCCTACGGAAAATTCAGCACATTCAGCCAATTTATCCATTTTAGGCCTTGCCAACTTCAACGAATGAAACAGAGAATGAGTATACAAAAGAGCATAGAAAGATCTAGCTACACAAAAATTGCAAGAAGGAATAAAGCAAGAAGCTAACCGGAAAGAGTCTCCTCAAAACAGCGATTTTTGTCATGGTGGGCTGTGAAGACATGGACATTATGTCCACGGGAGGCAAGTTCAACAGCAGCATCAACAATAAGTCTTTCAGCTCCGCCTACATATTGCAAAACTTAAAAGATAAGCTGACAAAAACAGTATCATAACAGAAGCCATGGCATTATAAGTGAGAGTAATGGACCATATAACTTTTCCGACCCTAAGATGAAAACTGAATACCATCAGGTGAGCTGAAAGATTTAAAACTCAATTTGCTTGGTATCTAAATTAGCATGGAGATACTCAAGGCATAATGCTCTAAACGTATCTAATCATTACCACAAGGTCCTACTTTTTGAGCGGGGTACTTATGTTTTTTTAATAAGATGTAAGAAAAAACAAATCCACCCTACTCCTTTTAATAATCAGGAAAAAACTATAGCAGAAACAGACGACAAGCCCCATTATAAACTATAAGTGCATATCAATATTCACTGTTCTATAAATGATGCCATGTGGAATTGCGTTGTGCTGTTAAAGAATTAACAGTAACACTACAATGTCATCAATTTAAGACATAGCTTGATCTTAAACCAGAAAAATAAAGAATTAGCAGATTCATCACGAGTGAAAACACACAGAGAAAAATGATAACTTTCAGTAAATCGATAGAACTTTTACTAACTAATAATTACCGATTCCCAGATCGGGGTGGATGATAGCGATGTTCATCTTCGGGCTTTCTTTCTTCTCCATTGATGTTCTTCCTTGTGATTGTGAAAACTGTGAAGAAAGGGAAAAGACCTGATCAGAAATGTAATTCGCGCTCACAGTTGGAATAAAAGAAATTAGGAGAATCTCCAATGAGGTATGGATTAGATGAGTGGATTGAAAGTTTCTTGCTTGACAAAAGCGTCTGAATTCAAGGAGTGGTTAGTACATGAGGGTTTGGGCGGTCTTTCGCTAAATTGGCGCTGGCCTATACTCTCAATTCTCAATAGCCGAGGGCTTTCCCTTTCCTCTACGAGAGCCTCATCAGATTGGCCGCCCCTGATTTGTTCACCAGATTCAACATCCGCCGCCAAGGAGGAGGTAAAGGAGGCTGGCATTAACTTTATGCTTTAGCCAAAAAAAAAAGTTTGGAAAAATTGAAAATAATAATCTCAACTATTGTCACTTCGCTAATAATAATCCTAACTATTGATTATTTTTGTATAATCCCAACTATATGGACTGTCCGCCAATAATGGTCCATGACCAGATATTTCCTCCAAATTTTAATAAACATTAAGTGTAAAAATTAAAAGTTGAGATTATTTATAGGGATTACTTGATATATCTCTTCTCATCCACTTTAGAAACTACAAGAATTTGTTTATAGTCGGTCACATCGGACCATTATTGGTGGAAGGTCCCTAAAGTTGGGATTATTCTGAAATAATCAATAATTGGGATTATTATGAGCGGACCGCCAATAGTTGGGATTATTACTATCAATTTTTCCAAAAAGTTTTAAGTTTTTTCTTAGGAAAAGTTCTCGAAATAGGATTAAAACAGTTTGAAAATTCCAAAATAGGACTGCCACGTTTTTTATTCCCAAAATAGGACTAATTACTGTCAAATTTGGAAAATACTGCCATGTTTGAAGTCTAGTACTGCCAAAACATGACAGTAATTAGTCCTATTTTGGGAATAAAAACACCATAGTCCTATTTTGAAATTTTCAAACATTTTTAGTCCTATTTCGGGTAATATCTCTTCTTATAAACTAAACACTTAAAAGTTAAAAATTGGAAACAGATTAAAGGGTGCTTTAAGCTTTTTTTTCAATTTTTCTATTACACAAAAAACACTTATTTTATCAAACAGCACCAACTTTTTCTTTTTCATTTCATACACTATCAGCTTTCACTATTAAGCACTTTATCCAAAATCATTTAAAAAATAACAATTTAATCTTTTTTTATACAAAAAACCGAGTTTGTGAAGTGATTTTGTGTTCTTCCTGTGGAAAAGAGATTTTTTATTTTTTTATTATTATAAAGAGTTTTTTAAAGAAGAAAATCAGAGTAAATAAGAAATCATTCTTTCATAAATAATTGGACCGCCACGTGTGCGCCACATCAGCAGCTAACTTGGTGACTGGATCAGTAACCTGCTAATTGGCTCAATTTTAAAAACAACGGCGTTGTGCTCTTAAATAATTTATTTGATTGCCTTCCAGATTGAATATTAACTGAAATTCAGTATTGGTAAACTAGACTTGATGAAGAATATATTAAAAAAACTCCATCAAACAATTCCAACGGGACGAGCCCGAAATGGCCTCGACCAGACGACGATCCTCGTCATATTGGGTGGACAAGAACGTCACTCATGTAAGATATATGTGCATTTTGTACGAGTTTTAAAGAAAATAAAGTACAAAATTGTTATTTTACAATCCTAACTTCAAATACTCCCTTCGGTTGTTAATTAAGTTCCACATTTGACTTCACACATATTAAGAAAATAAATTTGATTTTACTGTGGAGTGCACTGTTTGGACACTGTTTGGCACTTCTTGACACTGTTTGGCACTGTTTTGACACTGTTTTGGTGTAAATCATTTTCCAAATAAGGAAATATTTGAAATTGAAACTTTAATATGGATCATCCCAAAAAGAAATGTAGGAACTTAATTACGGGATGGAGGGAGTAAGTAGGAAGGAGCAAGGTAGGTTGTACAAAAGGTAAATAGTAGATTTAAATTGATAAATAAAGCGATAAAGCGGGATAGTAAAAAAACATTTGGTGAAATTCAATTTAGTAAAATATTCATATTCTTAGCCAATCCAAAAATAACAGTACGTCTCGCTAAAATTGTCTCATCTTACTTTTTAGGGAAATCTCTACTAAAATTGTCTCATACCAAATTGGGTGAAATTTGTGTGACTCTAAATCATTATTACTTTATTCTTAATAATTGTGTCACTTCCCTTTGTCTCAATATTAGTGGAACAGAGGTAATATATTTTATAAGTGAGACGGGTTAGTGTATTTTTAGATTTTTTTGTCAACAACAAAAGCTTATGTGAATAAACAATTACACTACACACACATATAGAGGTTTAAATAAAAAGGGTGTTTCATGTGAAAAGAGTTAATTTTCACATTTACTTCGCTACACCACACTTTTATGTTTTTTTAGAACATTCTTCTAAACCTACTATAGTATCTGCTCTAGTTAATGTCAACAACCTTGATTGAGATGAGACTCGAACGTGCGCCCTCTTCTTTGAGAGACCAGCAGTGATGTCATCAGACCATACTTGGCCACTTTTATGTTTAAACATTGTACTTTTTCAATGCTGTAAAAGCATTAACTTATTTATGAGAGTGTCACCACATTTTAAACCCAATTTAATGCATCGTTAGCACTTTTAGAACCATTGAATCTCAAATCAATGCACGAAAATCATTCTCATTGTTCACATCATGACTTCTTTTTCTCTTCTAGGATGTCTTTCTCACTTCATACACGCAGATATATTTGAATATATTCATCTAGCGTGCATCACACGGGTGTGCATGGTACTACTTACTAATATAATGACATAATGCAATCTCATACAGGGGCGGATCTACCTTATGTCCACGGAGGGCCTAGGCCCATGCTCAAAAAAAAATTATAGTATATATATATATATATATTAAGTAGTAATATACGGAGTATATAGTGTTGTGTAAAATGGTATAAAAACTAACAAAGTCGATTTCTTCTCAAAAAGCAGGACAGCTAGATAGACTTTGAACAATGTGTGCAGCGCTTCTATTAGGAAGACCTGAGTTCGAGTCCTGCTTAGAGCAGGATTTTCTGAATTTTGCAATTGAGAGCATTCTGTTTTAAAATTTCAGTTTTTTTCCCCTTATATCTATTCATCCCACACCGGAAGAAGAGAGGATTCTTCCTTCATACACATCTATTTAAACTTGATCTCCTAGGATCAATTACTACAAACTTAAAATCATTAAATGGGTTTGATACTAATATTGGGCATGCTTTGGTCTTTTGAATATTAGCCTAAAATATAATTAGATCATTTGGCTTGAAAAGTGAATATTAGTTCAATGTTTATGGGCTAGATGTGTTTTATGTATTTGATTTTGACAAAAAATCTTATTTTGGTAATTAATACCACTATCCTTTGTCTCTTTTTAATTGCAACATGTTGACTTTTTGCACTGTTCACATGATCTACTTTGACTACATTTTACACTATTATTTTATGAAAATTATTTTTAATTTTTTTTCAATTCATCTCATTACCAATTTTCAAAATCTGATTTTTAATATTTTTTGTTAATAGAGATTAAGACATACTTACGGTCAAATGTGTGCGTTGGCAAATGTGCAAAGGTTGACTGTTGCAACTAAAAAAGAACGGAGGAAGTATTTGTTTTGTCTTTGACATTAGTTTAGAGAGTACTACATTTTGACATTTTTTATAATATACTACGTACATTTTTAAATAATTTTTGCCCCACCTGAATGCGAATCCTAGATCCGCCCCTGATCCCATAACCTGCCTCTTCTCCGTGTATACCTCTAATAGCCCATAAATCTCCATGTCTTACTTTCCCAATACCGGCTCCCTAAGCCATAATCTTCTCGCTTCTTCTTCTCCCCTCTTATCCACTACTTCGCCCCCTCATTCTTTTCCAAACTCTTGTTGACGGTGTGATGATTATTTCACAGAGAATGCTGTCTAGATATATGCCTCAAGAAGATAATTTTTTCAATTGATGCTCCTAAATTATGCCAATTTCCATCTGAGTCATATTTAAGCGCAAAAACTTTTTTTTAATCACTTCTGAGCTTTTAGCTTTGAAAAGGTTAAAAGAGGTACTTTTTGTTGCTTCTAGGCAATGTTGTAAATAACCTCAACTTTATGGCTAATTCTATGCCCAATTACACCCAAGAATCCAAGATATCCTTCATCAAAGTGTGAGGAACGGACAATGCACTGGAACGCCAAAGTATTAAAGAAAATGGACAGTTTTGTACTTAAAAAAACTACATCAAAAATCACTTTTTATTAAACACTCCAACTTTTACATTTTAATTATAATCACTTCTACTTACCAACACTATCCACTTTTACAATAAATCACTTTCCAATAACCGCTTAAATAAATCACTTTTGATAAGCGGAAGTAAATGCAAACACTCGTGAACGGTGGCTTAAACACATTCGATCTGTACAGCGGCTTGAACCCTATTTACATATTTATACCACATCTATTGGACTTGATCTATACGGCAGCTTGAACACAATTAAGGCCCAAGTCTTGAATTTAAATAATTGGAATCTGTAATCTTTACAATGAACAATCTTTATTAAACCAAAGGTTCTAGATGGAGTGCTTAAATGGAAAGGTATTAACTGTACTACTTAATTGTGTTTGTCAATTCAATAATATTCATTCAAAATTAATCTCTCTTAAGTTTATTAATCACAACCGTACATTAATAAACCGAAGTTACTTATTTGTGAAATCATCAATGATTAACCATCGGTTCGTTGATTGTTTCTAGTAATAATTAATGTCGAAGCGTTAACAAATCGTTACTTAGCAACACCCCAAGATTAATATTGAAATGAGATTAAGGGAAGAATTAATAATCAAGAGAAAAAGTTAAGAAAACAACTCACAACTTTAATAATCTACAAGCTTCAAGAGCAAAACCAAGAAATAAAAGTTTAGCTCCTCATTTGGAGACTAAACATGCTATAAAAATATAAAGAAAATGATTTTCTAAGTTGAGCTTATGTATATGGAAGAAAGAGTGAATAAAAGTGAAGGAAAATGAGACTATTTATTGTGAAATAATGGGAAAAGGTACTCCAATAGGAGCCCTGACATGTCTATTTATATTAAAGAGTTTAATACATATTAGGAAACAAATATGCCTAATAATAATCTATTACACCCCCTCAAACTGTGCGGGAGATACAACGCGCAAGCTGTCTTTTAAAAAATTAAATTGCTGACTAGAAAGACTTTTAGTAAAAATGTCAGCTAACTGCAACTGAGTAGGAATGTACTTCA